AGTCTTTCGTATCGGGAGTCAGAACGGGATACTGAATCCCGTGGGTAAGAAAATAGTACACCGAAAGAGAAAGAAAAGCGATCAAATATGAGATACGGAGACTCCTCGATACCCATTCTATTCTTGATACGACTTAAAAGATAACTGTTTCTCAGATACGATTCTTAATATCCCTGTTATCTTGATTAAATTTAAATTGGAGCGAATGAATGTTGGTAGGCTTCCGTTTAAAAATAGATGTCTCGGTTAACTTTGATCATAGCGTGACCAGCAGAACTATTGTGGTGAGTTTTAACGAGCGAGAATTAAAAGATAACAGGTAGGATTTACGTCCGCGGGGATTGATTGCTCTTCAAATTGACGAAGCTACCCCTCGTTATTAAGGAACCCCTCTTACCAAAATATCCTTGACGAGACTCCGCCGGGAACTGATATTGGCATTTAAGTAGAATCGACATCCTTGCCTCTGACGTTTCGCCCCTTACTTGAAATTTCCTCCCTGTTGACGTTTATTTGTTTGCCGATGAAGAATATTATCGGCACGAAATAAACGTCGGAATAGGTGCAATATTTTTCTGGCATAATCGAACTTAATATTTGAAACGAAGAACTAGTTTCTCTTTGGTTGAAATTGTGAATGAGTTAAAGGGTTGAATATTTTCGAGCTGGTTTTTCTTTCGATAGCAAATCAAAGTCTCGAACTTGTAATTTGAAATGTATCGATGGATTGGATAGTTTGGAGGTATCCTTCGGTACCGAGATTCGACAGAGAATCGTATGGACAAGAGGCAATCGACGTTCCTGCCGGTCCTGTGGCTCCAGTTGTATCTATTGAAATTACCAGCTGGCGAATTGGCAAGTGTGATGGTGCGGCTAACGGCACAGCCTCCAATCAGTAGGTAATTGCTTCATTCTGTTGCCAGGTTCGCTGCAATATCGCGGTTCTGTGAATCGAACCTTCACTTTCAAAGACTCTACCACCCTCAAAGGACCGTGGACTTTTTGTTTCATTTCTTTGGTACCCAGTGAAAAGTGTGGATTCGAATGAAACATGAAATTACGTGATTCTTTTATCGGTACATTTATGGCAAATATATAATAAATCCATTGAAACCATTTTCAATATAAAAAGTTTTATAGATATTAAAATAACTGTTTTGGTAAACTTATTAAATTTATGTCTCATTTTAATATTCATATTTCATTTTTAATATTAACCCCTTAGGCTCTAAGTGTGCTTTTTAATTTATTTTCTAAATTATAGGGTCTAAAAAATAACATTTAATGAGTCAATACGTACTGCATTTTATTTCTTTTTTACAAAAAAATAATTATAATTTTTTACATTATTAACAAAGAAGTTTAGACCTTATAGGATTAATTTCATCATGAAATTTTTAACAAGTAACATATATTTCAAACAATTTGCCTCTTCATAATACATATCGTTACTAATTAAATTTATCAAAGCAAATGTATCTAAATTTTCTATTTGATAAATTCAGCATAATTCAGTCGTTTGCTTTTGTTGATAACAAACGATTGCTTTTGTTGATAAGATCGTTGATGGCACTTTAATATGACAAAGGTCTGGTAAAAACGATACTTGATCGTACAAAATACCCAGACGGTATGGCATAATGTGACGGAGGAGCTTATGTCCGTAACTGTAATAAGACCTTGCGCTTTTGTGTGACGGATTTTAAAGAGACAAGCTAAAAGGCAAAGTGTACAAATATAACGAGCCGTCGAGCAGAGGCTTCAAATGTTCTCTACGTGATATCGCTTCGGCTGGCTTTTTCTTTTCGCGTGTAGTTCAGAACGTTGGATCGGAATTAATGAACCGTAATCCCCCAATAATGAGGCTTCGGCTTCACTGGCTCTGATACGACCTCGCTACCCCTTCTTACCCTCTTCTATCCTCGCCACGGTATATCGATGTACATATATGCCCGTGTAAATGTCACATACGCTACATGACTTAGCGGGTTGTCGGTTCACAGAGAGAGGGAGAGGAGAGAGAGAAAGAGATGGCCTTCCAACGCTTCGAGGCTGTCGACGCGAGACAAATTATTTTCCTCAACAACACGCGTCGATGCTTTTCACCGCGTATAACGAGTTGTTCGAGCGGCTTTGCCCGTAGAGAGAATACAAAATGTCGCTTCGCAACCCCACCAACCCCTCTTTGCGGCCGTTCTACAGACTGCCGATATTTTTCCTAGCTTTACGAAGGAACGTCCCTGAATATTTTTCCCGTTCGAATTTGACCGTCGCCAATGACCTTGATATTCCATTTTGCTACATCCACTGCAGGTATTTTGTTAGTAGATTGTTGGATTTTATTTAAACCAAAGAGTTTTTGGATTTTATTTAGAACAAAGCCTGCTGGTTTAAATTCTTCCAATTTGACACGAAGTAATACCAGTTATAAAGGCATAAAAATTCAAGGTTCAGCTCGAGTTATTTAAAGAATATTAATAATATTAAGAGCAACAATGTCGTTCGTAAGATTTTATGCGAAAACTTTCTGAAAACGCTGCCGCTAAAACGATAATCGCTATTAATACGTTCCACGATGTAATACTTTTTAAAGGAACGCGGTCTAATTTAAGATAATCTTAGGCTCAGTTTCAGGGTTGTCACGAACACGAGGCAACCGAAAGAACACCTACGAGTTTTGCGGCGTGCTCTTGATATTAGTTACAGTAATGTGGAAAGTTGTATCCAACCATGAAACCCGCGTAACTTTTATGCCTTGTAAACTGGTGGCCGGATGCTGGTTTCCTTGAAAATGTACCGGTTATACACGCGTTTGGCCTTATTCGAGTTGGCTGTAAAGCGAAACTTTTTAATAATTGCCAGCCAACCGTCCCTCCCGTTTTTAACCTGTAAGCCGTGTTCGAACACAATTCAACGAGCACCGATTGTATTCGACGTTCATACGCGTGACCAACAGCAAAATGGTGCTCCGTGTAAAATGCTAATGAAAATGTCTCGCATCGGTACCGATAAAAAATGTCCCCCGTTTAAAAGCTTTTAACGTATCCCGTGAATTTAGTGGAGCATTAATCTGTTTGATCTTTATTCTTCTTGATTCATATTATAATGGGGAAAGTGCGTGACATGCAAACGGCACGTTTGAAAGAGTACTTTTAATATTTAATACTTAACGTCCAAAGATTGCTTAGTATACATTTTTAAATATTAGAGAATTAATTTTTATAATCGTTTGAAATTATTAAATTTTTATTTCGCATTAGTTATCATTTTTTCTGGCAAATTATTTTGGTATACTGAAAAAGCACAGAACTGGCAGGAAAAATATTTCCATTTTTCTCATCAAAAGAGTCTGATCCCATAAACAAATTGATTTGGTCCTGGTCTATACGTTTTTATACGAGCTCGTTTTGTCAACGCTATCCGACGATCGATCTATTAGAGGAAACTTTAAAAAAAAAAAAGTCCTCGTAAAAAGTTCTACCAATTTCGTTTCCGCACACACCCAGCTCGTATACCTTTGACAACAGCTTCAAAATGTTCGACAGAAAAATAGTAAAAGCAAAAGCGGTCTTTATAGCCAGCACGATATCCGCTATACAACCGGGCAGTATCGATGACACTGCATGTGAAATCGTCTCTGGTTATAATGCCGATTCCTGGATCATCCCTTTCCATTCAATGTTTAACGCTCGCGTGTGAACGCATCGGCTACCGCGTATCTTTTCAATGCACGGACACGTACGACTATGATTTAGAATAGAATAGCCTGCTTTAATACCAGCCGTGTATAATTTATACCATTTTGAAGGCAAAAATTTTTATTATTATTAAATATTTTATACGTCAAATGAGGTTTATCTTAATTATACATAAATATTTGATCACTTTCAGATTATTAGAGGAATAAAAATTTTTCATTCAACTTTGTCCACTGTTTCTGTCGCATAAGAAAAGTCAGAAGTGGTGAAAGCTTGAAATTAAAAAATAATATTCCTGAAGAGAAGCTAGGAGGGTAAGGAGGATACAGTAGAATAAGTGAAAAGGGAATAATAGGAAGGGAAGAAAGCAAGGGGATGAACCATGCAAAATCGCGTGACAAGAATGTAGAATTTCCAGGAAGCATGTCAACGGGTTACAATATTACCATCGTTATATAAACTCAGACACGCCCGGCATTTGCATTGATGACGTGAATATAATATATCACCAGAAGCTCGAAAGCTGAGCTTTTCTCCGCAGTCACAATGGCCATTGGCCACCTGTTGCCTTTCCATTTATATTTTAGACGCGGTAAGAACGTCGTCGCCTTACGTATCCTCCTAAGAGTCTCGAAAACCAGCGTCTTTTCGCATCGAGAAATAATTCTCTTCCTTGTACAATCATGATTTTAGATCAAAATCAAGAGTAATCAAGATAAAATTGGCACACGTGTTAAATGCAAGCGAATCACTCGATGAGAGAGTTAATTTCCAGCAAGTAACGAGGAAGATGGCTGCTAGTTTCTTTGATAATTACGCCCGTTGTCGAAACGGTGTTATTATCGAATTTCGTACGTGTTATAAATTCATAAAGGACGAGAAACGCGTACGCGGTCACGGAGAAAATGCGGGATTCTGGAAAATTATGCGGCTTTACGTCGGCGACGGTAATCCCCTTGCTACAGCGCCGCTTCGTCTCATGGAAATTACGAACCGTCACGTCTGACAGGAGTATCTGATCCTACGTTTCAGACGCGCTTGTCATAGCAAGGCAATTTACATCGCGAGCAACTTAATTTTGACACGATAAATCGTGCGCCCCCGACTTATAATGAATCGGTCAAATTTCTTGTAATGCTTAAACCAGATCATTTTTCCATTCGTTGTATGTATTTCTGATCAAACATAATTTCAGTCTAACGAATGCATCAAACAATGAAATTTCTGTGTGACAACAAATAGATACGTATTTCGTCTCGTTAATTGTAACAAATAATGACCATTGAAATGCTATTGTTTCAGGGTGCGTCATCCAGCGTAGTGGTAAAGTTTGCAGATACTGAGAAAGACAGACAAGTAAGACGCATGCAGCAAATGGCCGGGAACATGAGCCTCCTTAACCCTTTCGTCTTCAATCAGTTCGGCGCTTACGGCGCTTATGCCCAGGTGGGTCGCATTACCGTTAATGGCTCTCGCGTTACCACATTACCGTCTAGTTGTCCTCGTTATCGTGAATCACAATCTGTAATAGGTTCTGTCTTGTTAAAAATGACCGACGATACTCGATATTCTTCTCTTCCATTTGTTACGACAAAAATTATTCTTTTTTCTTTTACTTTTTCAACCAGTTCAAAACATCTCCTTCCTATTTTTATATATTTCTTTTTTATTCTTCAATATTTCTAAAGTTGTACTAATGAAGTTACACTTGTTTTCAATTTATTAATGCATAAAGTTTAATGATACATTAATTTCAAGATACGTAAAGATAAGTAGATATTTATGAAACAATTAACAATTTAAGCGGAGTACAGCTCTTTGAATGTGTTTTCGACATATAAGTTCTATTTACAGCAGCAAGCAGCCCTCATGGCTGCGGCAACGGCACAAGGGACGTACATCAACCCGATGGCGGCGTTGGCCGCTGGACAATTGCCGCACGCGTTAAATGGCATACCAAACCCCATCGTCCCGCCGACTTCCGGTACGTTTTTCCTTCTTTCAACACTCTATCGACGTATTTCGCATGCCGTGCGAAACATAAGTTAACACTTTAACGGCCACGGTATCATGTAACTTCAATTTTCATCTCTGAAAAGGGCACAAACCCTCCGGATGAACCAGTAATATTATATAATGGAAAAATATTTGCCTATATAATAGAAAATCTTATTAAAAAAAATATATAGGGAATAGAAAAATGATACATTTTATGAAATGCAAAGCCGTTAAAATGTTAAAGTAGATAGCTAAGTACTCGCATGTCGATCCAAAAATTATTCGTCTCTTGAAACTATTATATGTACTAAGGGATCAGCTAGATGTTCGATCAGCAGAAAAATCAAGGGGCACGCGAAGTATCGAACTGAAAAGCCTTCCATACGTCCGCGCACGTACACTTTGTCGTGGAATTACTCGGTTTCCATGGCGCGAAACTCTTTCTTTATCTTGCCCCTTTTATCCTGCCCTTCCGTTTATTTCTCATGGACTTCGCGGCAACGGTAGAGTACAGTCGGTTGCCTTATAACTGGCTCATAAATCAATACAACATTTTCACCGAGCGTGACTCGGGCGAAAGATATTGCCGGTACTGGGAAACTTTATCGAAGGCTCGTCGAAGAAGGAAAAAGAGGCGAAAGCAGTACCGTTTCTCCGGCACTTTTCTTTTTTTCCTCCCGCCCCCGCCTTCTCTGGTTTGCCAACGCAATAAGAGAGAACGAAGTAGCACAGACAAGTAAAAGTAAGCACGGAAATCGGCTCTCCGCAAGCGTTCTGGTATACGTCGAGTCTCGTCGAGCGAAAGGTAATACCGTTTGATAGGGAAATAATATTTTATTTCTTCTCCGCCTACTCCTGGTTCTCTACTCCACCTTCCTGTCCCACAGATTACCGAGACTCTGCGCTTTTATTCCTTAGGAAACGACGTCATCTTACCTGCCTCTGCGGATTTTTCCACGCGTACCGGCTCGATCGTATAAAATGATTCCTTTGAAATCATTCCTCAAAAGTTTCACGTACAATTGTTTTTCTTTTAATAGCTTTATTAATCATTTTGAATTAAAGAGAAAATTTGTTGAAATATTTTAGTATAAAATTAGTTAGCTTAATTTGCAATTGTATGGAATTCCAAAATTTATTTAGCTTCAAATTCATTCGATCTTTAAAAATGAAAAAGTAACGAATAGGATATTTTACTTAAGGAAGGCAGAATAGAAGAGCCCTAATGTTCGATCCATATCACTGATCCTAAATCATCTTACGAGAATCGATAAAATGGAATCATTAACTCTGTGTAACATCAATCTGCTGCGTGTCATTATTAGCCGTAAGATCGGATTAACAATTTCAGCAATCCGTAGATCATATGATCCCTCAAACGCGTTGCAAGGTATACGGATCATTCGCAAACCAGTTCTAACGTCCTTCCAATTATACCGTATATACCGTAAATATATAGAGCAAATTGGTTGACAGGATGTACAGAAGGCAACTGGCCGAGCGTAAGCATTCCCGATCCGATACCTTGCACCACGAGGGTGACCGAGGTCGGTGTTGTAAGAGCAAGAGGGTAACCGGTGTGTACTGATCAGGTTTGTTCGTAGGTACCGGTACAGGGCAGCCGGTTAACGGTGCGATACCGTCGTTACCGTCGCCAACGATGCCCAATTTCAACATGGCTGCACAAACACCGAACGGTCAACCAACAGGTTCGGATCCTGGCGTCTACACCAACGGGATACATACCTATGGGGGACGTGAGTATCAACTCAGGCGCAGTGTGCCGCCCCTGCGCAATGCTCGGCCAATCGACGCTGGACTTTATTATTCCGCGTTTCCGACCAGAACCAAGTAACCTCGCCCCAAAACGAGCGCAACGATACCTTTTCATATCAGGCTTGGACAAATTTTTTAAATCACCCGAATATGGGTATGCGAGAACAAAACATGGATATGTCGAGAATTATTTCATACTCCCTATGGTTTTATAGAATACTCGGAATCGTTTTGTATAGCCTGGAAGAAATTTCTGATAATATTAAATTTATCTGGGGGATTAACGTTGATTGCCACAGGGTATAATCAATTTAATTTAGTCGAATAATTAACTCTTTCATTACTATGGTTGCTCATCGCGAAATAATCATTGTACTTATTATTAAAGCTTTTAGGTTTTCAAGTGATGGATATATAATACAAGTTTTCATTTATTATGCAAGTATGTATGATTCAAAGTAGCTGGTTACAAACAAAATTTGGTTCATTTAATATAATTGAAAGGAAAATAATTAAAATTGAAGCTTAAGTAACAATAATACTATAGTAATAATGCAAAATAGCAAGTAGAATGCTTAAACTGAAGAATTAGATGATTGCATCTTAAGCATGCAATAGTAGGTATAGCGCGTCTGACCATACGCGGATTTTTCTACCGTGGCAGTGAAACGAGTCAATAATACGTCCGTCGTACCGTCTACGGTTACTTCTACTGCAGCATTGAACATATCCATTGCAGTTCTTTAAAAGTAGAGATAATTTTGTTGATTTATAATATAAAAATGTATAATTTTAAATAATCTAAAGGAAAATTATAACTTTAAATTTAAGTCTGCTCAAAAGTCATAGGACACCTATTGAAATTTCATAGAAGCCTAACAAAATTATAAGAATGTTAAAATGTTTCTTTGCTATAATTTACACAATTAGCTATGTTTATAATTTATAGTAACCCAAGATTACACTATCAACACATTTGATCGCAACTTTATCTCGCGTATATCGGGTTAAATCGAACCAATGAGGTATCAAAGATTACACGATACCATGGAATATCGATTGGTCAGTATTGCGACAGGGGCCTTAGATGTAGGTCCGTTCCTGATAAGAGCTGAGCTTACTGAAGTGTAGATGGCCTCCATCTGTCCATTCCAGCACAAGCGCTGCCCAATGGGGAGGCGGCACTCCAGCATGCCGCCGCGTATCCTGGAATGCAACCCTTCCCCGGTGTCGGTAAGTTTTTTTCTTCTCTCCTCTTTATATTTTCTCTTTCTTCCCCATTTACTTCTTCCCCTCGTCTTATCGAGGATTCCGTCAAGTCATCGTATCTGCAGCGAGTTTTCACGGAACGCGGATTCGTATAGCGAGGAAGCTGGCCTCGAAAGAGCGATCCAAATCGGATTCTGTAATGAGTTTCGGGCCGGAAAATTGAATCAGAATTATTGCGTCGCTATTCCATCAAGATATTATCGGGAATTGTTATCGCGTATACTGAATTTGCTTACCTTTCGATCATCAACGAGTTTTCGATTCGAGGCTATCCCAACGATGCGATAGTAGAACGTTTATTCGATCGTGCTGTAGAAAGCTCATGGAATAGTGGTTTACACTCGGCTCGATAAAGCTTCAGGTGGACGATATTTTACGTGAAACAAATTGCCGTTGAAAGATCACCCTCTGTTTCTCCGTTTGAACTCTTGTTTCGACGTCGATCGCAGAGGAAAATCGGAAAGAACGTTCGAATTTTAATATTGGTTTTATCCGAGCACTCGAGCACTTAACTCTGTTGAAATATAAAAAATGAAAAATAAATATCAAAAGAAGGAAAATTCGATTCGCGTTTCTGGCTGTTGCATGCAACTATGGTCGCATGTGTACATTTATATACGTGTATATATAAATGTATATACACACAAGTACAAGAACACGGATATCTCTCATCGTTATCACCATTAAATATTTATATATATATATTTAGAAGTGTCGCGTCAACGTATCGTTTATATATAATGCTTCTGGTGTGCTGCTACAGTGTATTATCAATGTTCCTTTAAATATATATGTACGTCGTGTACGTTGTAACATTTTTCAACGTGTAACGTGCATGTTCACCAAAACGTACGCAGACAACAATACCGTATAACCTGGAGTGTCCGGCTAGGTTTGAACGATGTTACATCAAAGTGCAACGCACCGGCAGAAATGATAATCCAATAACCAGCATCGAAATGGACGATCCCGTTTCACAGATATAATCAACGTGTACAGGACGTAACTATACTTCGAACTGGTCCCGTTCACCGTTAGCAATTAACGCACGGGGACGGTTTGAAGAATTCTCTGTCGCCAACGGTTAAATTAATAACGGGGCCATTCGAACCGAGTTTCATAACAAGTCTCATTGCCGCGTCTCATTATCGGTTGCGAAAGCATCGGACCGTGAGAACCGTGCCCGGAATAATTATTATTTTAACGTGTCTATCTACGTACTTGGTCTTTTTTCGTTCATTGCCGATGGAAATTTTTCTTCTATGTATGTTACACAGTAGATGAGTGTAACTTTGAGTATAAAATCAAAATAAAATAAAAATTTTTATTATATATATCAAAGGGGAACTCGGATTAATTTTTTAAATCGTGGCAGAGATTTCTTAACGAAAAGGGTTGAAAAATGAACATTTTGTAAAGGATTAAATATCACGAATGTAATGGTATAGCGATTCACAGGAAATTGATAAAAATTTATCAAATTTAAAGAATAAAATTCCTACATACATAGCAGAACGGATTTCCTGTATTTGGCAAAGACTCGAAAAACGATATAGATATTCCTTTCTCTGTGTATTTTCGCGCAGTGTACACAGAGGATGGAGATGAGCGAGTGGGGAAAAAAGCAATCCGAAATATCCTGTGTCTTTCTATCCGGTCGGACGGTAACCGATGTATGATGGTGTATTTATTTCATACGGCAAACGTCGGACCATCGCGTTGCAGCGGAACCTCCGGTAACGTCAATCGGAATATATTAAAGCGATGTTTGCACGGAAATAATTAATTTCCAAGCGAAAATTCAACTCCTCTGATCTGAGAGCGAACGGTCGAACCCCTTCATCCCCTAATAATCGCTCAACTCAACGTTTATCCGTCACAAACAAATATCAATCGCGCGCGTTTTAAATATTTGCCAAGGTATAATTAATGCCGCTATAATTGCTTTCCACTGATATTAGTGCCCGTAAAGCGTTTGTTCATTCGATGAAATTAATAGTTTGTCGGATGTTTAAGTATGAAATTATTTTTCATTTTTTGATTCTTACAAAGAGAATTCCTTTTATCTTCTTTCCCCTGTAGATTTATTATTTTTGGAGGTATTAATTTAATTTTAATCACGATTCCATCTCGCGTGTATAGAACTTGGACAATCGTAGCCGTGCGTGTCGCGTTCATAACGAAACGAAATGCCACACTTTGAAGGGATATCCCGTGTCGGTTAATGTTGCCTAATACCTGATAGGAGCGTTACGAAGTACAAAAGTATCGTGTTAAAAGTCGCGGAACTATGAGAACGTTGAGATTGGAATACCCTTGACGAGTGAAACACCTCGACGAATGCGTACACGGGGGCCAGAGCGGAAAAGGATTTCCTCATTTCGGTTTTCGTTTGCTTTTCAACTCGCTTGTTGGCCAAAACCGCTTCTCATTAACGAACCTAGCTTGAAAACGCATCGTATTTTAGGAAACTCGTATCGTCGAGCAAACATTATTCCATTTCTTCTTTTCCTTTTTTGGAAATTTAATTCAAAGACTTACGATATTTTCATGATCGTTAACGTTGCTGTTTATTGTATCGTCTGAAATTAATTTATTAAGGAATAAATTATAATCAATAAAATTTCTGTCGAAGCGACGCTTGAGATCGTTCGTTTAGTGTTAAGCTTTTTAAATGTATATTTGTTATTTGAAAAGAAAAACACTGACGGCAACGAGAAGTTGTACTTGACGGATGCGAGATAGAAACAAATATCAGCATGCGATTCGTGTTTAGATGTGGACACATCATGATGTATCTGTTATTTGTTATTGTCGCAGCTTATCCCGCCGTCTACGGCCAGTTTCCTCAAGCTATACCTCAGCCGATGACCGCCGTGGCACCCACGCAAAGGGAAGGTAAGTACAAAACACTCATCAACGTCTAACTGTTGACTGTAAACACGAACGATTGTAGTCCCGAGATTGTAGATCCAATATCCCAAATACGTCCAGACACGAGTTTATCCTTCGTCGTTGCGTCGCAACTTGATTCGACTGATCGCTGGGAAAATTCACGTTATATGCTGCGTGGAAAACTCGTTAACGCGAAAAAAAAAAATGGTCGTTTCAATGCTAGAAAATGGTACATTCATAGAGAGAGAGAGTGAAAAAAATAAAAAGGAAAGAATAATAAAATAGCGAATGAAAGCTACAATTCTTTTCGTTATCACGCTCGGCGCCGCACACACACGACGAATCTCTTTTGATTCCACCACGTACGGTTGCAGTCTTTTTTAGTTTAATCATAGCTGCAAAAGCGAAGGATGACCTACAATCGTTGATGAATTTTCATGTAACTGCGATATTTCGACTTTCCAATACTGCGAACAATGGCGGGTTTCTTCGTTCCGAAAACTGCCACGAGAATCGTCTCTCTCTCTCTCTCGCCTCGTGTTTCGTTCGTTAATTACTACCGTGATAACGAATGAATGAACCTGGAATGTTTCGTATTTGGCAAATCTGGAAACTGGTCCTTCGTTTTTCCCCCGGTGCAATCTTGCCAGTCGCGTTCGGACCTTCCTTCGGTCGAACAGGGGTAAAGGATCACGATTAATTAAGCTGATTGACTCGAATTGCGAGCGTAAGATTAATTGGGTTCGACGTGAAACGCGAGGCACACGGTCGAGAGAACGAATCGTTCGTCAACGTTATCTTTGAAAAGAAGAAGGGAAGAAAAAAGGAGGAGAACCGGGGTAGAAGATGGCGAATAAACGGGTAAAAAGGGAGGGCGAGCCGAGCCAGCGCCTAATTGCAATTAACAACTCGCCATTATTAGAATATACGACGCCTAACAATGAGATAATGCAAATAAAACGAAAGTTTTAATTACTTTGCCGCTACGCCTGCCGGCGATCCGTTGTTACATCGTAGGATAATAGGAAGTTTACCGCGACAGAGTTCCTCCTTCCTGTTCGGAGTTCCATCAACTCTCTTGTTCGCTCTCCTTTATTGACGCTTCTCCTCCTTTTCTATCGAACGCACAATATTTCGTCGATACGCGTACGGTTCGTATAATGTGTTAGGCTCGTTTTTTAACATTTTTGTTGCAACCAAAATCATGATCATATATTCAAAAATAATGTCACTTTTTGTAAATGCGTATGCATTTGTTTTCTGGAGACTTGAAATTGTGGAAATTACACCAAGTGACAAGTAATTTTTATCCAAGTTTAATTCTGTCTAGGGTAAAAACTTGGAAACATGGAAAATTTGATAAGAATTATATTCTTCTTAAAACTCATGGAAGCTAGGTGTTCATATTTGATGAAATTTTTTCTTTTTATGAAATCGAAGACGACGCGACGACACTAACAAAAGGAGCATATATAATTTACTAAGTCATCATTGCATGACATATCAGTTTCGTATTTAATAATGCTTCGTTCAACATTCTTGCTTCTTTGATCTGTTATTAATGTTTTATCCGTTTTACTCTGTTCTCTTGATCGATTATTGTGCCATAAAGTTTCAAGTGTACCACGGAAACTCTACGTTCTTTAGATGGATTACTTCGGTGTTTCATCGTTGCACTCAGTGTCACTTTATTTAGCTGTGTTCAATGTTTTGCTGTCGACTAATCTTGGTCATTGCTTTATAATATGATCAATTTACGTCGATATCAAATGTATAGAGTGTTCATTTATTATAAATAATATGTATAACTGTTCGTGCTTACATATATTAATGAAATTTCGCTATATGTATTTAATTGTATAATATCTGTATTAAATTTCATAGATATATCTTCTGTTGAACTTAACAAAGAACATGAAATGATAAGTAAAGGCAAAATTTTACTTAAGATATATGATGATGCTGTGCAAGAAATATTTTTTTATATTAATGGAATTATAATTTATAGAGTATTCGTCGTAATTATACTAATTAATCTCTATTTAAAGAAATTACGGAATTTAAGCCAGAAAATTCATAATTTTTTTATATGCTATCAAGATTCAAAAAAATTACTTTAATTAACCCTCAGGCGGTAGCTCCTTTAATTAAATGATAATTTAAATTTAATGTTACTCTATTCCTTTTAATATTACATTGTAATGTATAAAATCCTTTTGTTTAAAAATTAATACTGCTAATTTTAGCCAAAATATCATTGAGTACATTTGATAGGCCTAAGTCAGGATTGACCCATCTAATCTATTCAAGGACTAATTAAAAAATTAATAATCTTACGACGAATACTCCACAGAAAATTACATACATATAAAAGCTCGAATTACTCGGATAAAATAGAGATAAGAAAGAAATTGTCCAACTGATAAGCATCAATTCCAATAGATTTCTATTTTAACGTTTTAGTCTGGCCGTTGATAATTCTCCGTGAGACTTGGGGAAAGTGTTGCTTTCATTAAATTCGCATGCACGTCCCGCTGGTGGGGCCAATTAGAGAGTCGAAAACCAATTTCAGGATCAACGATCGCACGGCACGACGACGTGGTTGAATTTATGGCTCGTTCTTCGTGATTCCGGCGTCCACCGCAATTCCTTCTCCATTCTCCCCTTTCGCCGGCAACCGGAAACCGTCGACACCGGTTCTAATTTGGGTTTCACGTGACAACTACGATCGAGTTATTACCGAGACGTAGTCGGTGCTCACGAAAAGAAAGAACATTTGTCATTCTTTGTACTAACCACGAGACACGTTTTGTTACACGTTAAAAGCGTCGCGTTTGTTTTCTCCCGACTGTTAAAAAACTTTCACAAAGGAGACACGAAATGAAACACGTAACGTTGTTCCGTGTAACTGGGTGTAAAAGCTCTTTGTTAAAACGCGATGCTATCATACTTTACTGTTTAAATCTAAATCAGATGTTACGGTTATTTTTATATACCCTTCTTATTAAAACTCCAGACAAATTACTATTGTTTTTTTTTTTCAATTATCAATTTGAAAGAAAAATTCACATTTTACAGAATATTTCTATATCTTTAAATTTACGTATTAGAGTTACCCTTAGAGTTACTTATCATTTTGAAACCTTCAGGGTAGTAAAATTCATTAAATAAAAAATAAGAATTTCTTCATTTTTTAGTAAAATTCACAGTAGAAATGTTTCATAAAATAAATTTCGTTACTTTGAAGATAGACCGGGTATACATTGAAATGTACATTTCATGAGTCATTGATCCCTTGATTGTGATACGTGGCTGAACGTAACTTTAACGATCCCGAAGTTTCCATCAAAGTGTCGTAAAGATGAATCTCGCTATCAATTGTAAAAGTCAGGTTAATCGAGGATCGCTTCGGAAGTGGTAGCGTAGAGTAGGTAAAATCGAGTGGGAGCCACAAAATGAACGGGATCCCGTAATCGTTCGCGGAACTGGAAACGGACAATTACCCTCTTTGCGGTAATTCGACAAGGCGACGGACGGTTCGTTCGCGAAAGCGTAGAAATGGTAGAGAAAGAGAGAGGGGTTGAATCTCGCCCAAAGAACGAACGAGTCGCGATGAGTAGCATCTTAAAAGTTGAGTGGCAGCCATCTCATTACTTAAATGCGTCCGTTATTCGAGAAGCGTTGGCCAAGAGAACAGAACTTTCCACGGTCATAATCGTCGCTAATTGACGTCGGAGTTATAAAGTTCAGTGAAATTAGCTAAATCCTTATTTGGACTCTCGTTATCCCGACCCCCCGTTCGCTTTAGACTTCTTCCGTTAGACTTTTCTCAAACGCTTCTATTAATCGTCGGTGTCTTCGCGTTTCTGACACGTACAAGAATTTTTCCATTCCCGACGAAAGCTGTGAAATTAAAACGGAGAAGGAGTTGCGTTTCATTTAAAATGTTTAAGAAATATACAGGGTGTCTTTTTTTTATTTCAGAAATAAATCAAAATTGTCTGCGAAATCATAACGAAACTCGAGGTTCGCGTCGAAAATGAACTCGTTTTCATTCTCGATGATAATGAGATTCAAATAATTGAATTTTAATGAGTTTCCACGCAACGTATCATTCATTTTCATACAACTAACGCGGCAACAAGATGACGGATCAACATGTCTGACGATCTCATGTAAAGTGTCGCACCATCGTAATCAGCATCATCACTACTATTCACTATAACCCTTCTATCCATTTGCATTCATTGAAAAAAAAAAAGAAAAAACCCTTCACCTCGCTCGTCATTGTGTTGTGAGTCCCAGTGTTGTGTGTTTGTATATTTGAAAGTATAAATACTCAACGTTATTTGATTCGCGAGAAAACTCATTGTCGTATTGGACATCATCGTGACATTCTAATCATTACTCTCTTCGTCGACAATTTCATACCTCTACCGAATCCAATCTCTAATTTAATTCTCCTACAATCCTGATTAAATTTAACACGTTCGAACCAGGGCAACAGCTGTTGCCTGTCATGGGTAGACATATCCAAGCTGGACAGAACGTGTTAAACCTGATGGAACTGGACAAGGAGCGGACTTTTGGAGTCTTTGGTTCTCAATAAGGGTACATTTGAGTGCAATATGGGTTTCTATAGTTAAAAGAATAAGTGGAAAGGGAAAAGTCTTTCATTTGTGTTTTGAGAAAAATAAGAGAGGGTTAAGGAGAGTTTTGGGAGAGACCAGTCTAGAATCTCTTACCCTCGCACCTGGACGAATAACGCGAGAATTAATCAATTAACTGGTAATTACTCTCAGCATAGTGTTCAATTGCAAGTTTTACTCTCAAATGAAGATATACTTTAAAGCACAAGTCAGAACGCTTGCAGTCCGCTTCCAAATACACTTCCAAATCATTTGAAAAATAATTCCAGTTCGTTTAAAGATCCATCACTCATCCATCTCCTGTCCACTTCTGATCCACTTGCATTTTCACCAAGGAATACTTACCTTCCTTTATCCATCCTTTCATTCATTTGCATTTCATTTAACCTGTACGTGTTCCCAACGTTAAGTTACAACACCTGTTCCATTCAAATCATCCATCATGCGAATCATTAGATATCATCCTTTACGATTTCCGTGCGACGAGAGAGAAATCAGATTGTCATTGAGAGACGGTCACGTGTCTTCATCTTCATTCATCAAAAAAAGAAAACGCATCCAGACGAGAATCGGGAAGAACGAGAAGTGAGAGCAGAATGTGTTGGCTCTCGTGTCGCGTACGAATCATTAACTAATACCGAAGAGAACGAAACTCATCCAGAAAACTAACATTCTAACTTGAGTATTATACTTCAAGTTTAGATGTTTAGATGTGCTCTGATTTATATGGTAGGATGCTCTATCTCAGGACCCGAGGGCTGCAACCTGTTCATCTACCACCTGCCTCAGGATTTCGGAGACACTGAGCTAATGCAGATGTTCGTCCCGTTTGGCAACGTCATATCGTCCAAGGTTTTCATCGACCGGGCCACCAACCAGAGCAAATGCTTCGGTAAGTGTGTCATTTCCGTGAAACAGTCCGAGTGTGGCCCGGAAGAGAGAAACGAACAGGTAGACACTGATCGACGGTGAGATCATCGAAAGGTAGGGCGTAAGGATCAAGATGGATATCAGTCGTTTCGACGTTGACTGGTTGGCTGACCAGTCGAAACGAAGTTATTTCTTATCAGATTACTATGATAACGATTTGTCTATGGATTCTATGGGTTTCTTGATTTTTAGTTCAATTTTTTTCTGTTTAGTGGTACATCATTGTAATGTGAAATTCAGTTTGCCAAAATTCCAGTTACCAGCATTCAAATTGAATTTAATTTTCCTTGTAAAATTTATGTACAAAAGTTGATTCTACCTTTTATAACGCACTGTAAATTCTTCGTTGAATATCAATACTCGGCTCAACTGAAATGAAAGCTGGAAGCCTTTTTTGGTCAAGCGAAGGGGACCGAAACAGAAAAGGCTGAAGGAGCTGGCAACAGACGCTTTGATTAATCGTAACCAGGATGAATGCGCGAATATGGTCGCGGATAATTGGACGAATACGTTCGTTCGTATTCTTCTTAGACTGTTCATTCGTAACAAGCACGATTAATATTTTCCCCTCTGTCGAATATAATAATATAGCGCTTTAAACGTTATTTAGAAAAGCAATAGGTGCATTATAATTCATTATGGTACTCCGATTATTTCCTTAAAATCCAATAACGGAGAGATTTCCAAAAAAAAAAGGGCTGCAAAAGGAATCTTTTCCATCGGACAAGGGTTAAAGCCTCTTCAGTCACCTAGTAAAAGTAATTTACGAACTCTGGGTAAAAGCGGTGGTCGTCGAGCGATGAAGAGCCACGATTGGTCAGGCAGTAGGCCGCCATGATGGCAAAACTAAAATTGGATCGGGGCTAATGGTCAAAATTGGCTTAAACTGGAAGGGCCCTGATGACCTTTCAGCGGCGCTTCTGTTGTTAAGAGCTTCGTTATCGTGCACCTTCTCTCTTTTCCCTCTCTCTTTTTCTCATTCTCGATAAAACTTTGATAATACCAAAGCCCCTTCGTAGGAAACTCTTTATTCCTCCCGGCGAATCAGCTAATCTAAATCACTGGTTACTCCCGCGAGTACCCTTTCGCGATAATCCGATGCCCTCCGGTGTCGATATTCAACTTCCAGGTTTCATCGTAACTCAGAGAACATCGTAACCAATTCTTTAATCTCTTTTTACTTTCGATCATTCTTATAGAAACTTCCTTTAAACTTGTAGCCGATATTGTAATTCGTACAGGATATTGCTGGAAATTGTTATCTAAAATAGATATTCATCGTTTGACTTTAAAGTGGTTGTATCACAATTTGTTTTAAAATTTAACTGAATGTAAATAATAATGGTATTTATTCATTGGTGAAATTTCGAAATAATTATTTTTCTTACATGAAGAATAAATTAAAATTTTAATGCAATTATGTACCAACAATTGATACACATATTGGTTTTCTACATATGTATTTAATTTACAACAGAGTATTTATTGAAATTCTGCAATTGAAACTTTCAGACAATGAAACCAACATGTATAATTATGGAAATTGATAATATCGTATGCGATACTCTAATAAATAATGGAGAGAAATTATTCCTGTCACTGATCAACAGTTTCATCGTTCGATTCTTTCAGGTTTCGTATCGTTCGATAATCCTGCAAGCGCGCAGGCAGCAATTCAAGCGATGAATGGCTTCCAGATAGGGATGAAGCGTTTAAAAGTCCAGTTGAAGAGGCCCAAGGACGCAAACCGGCCATACTAACCAAAATCCTAGCTTAGAGAAACTGGACGATACGCACCCTACATCATAACCTACAGAGTAAGTTCTAAAAATCATTCACATTTCATAATAACAATTAATTCTTTTACTTGTGCAATTAACACGTTCTGTGCCACCTACAATTTTAAGTCCCTTTTTACTTAACAAGAGATTACTAGTAAAATGGTATTCAAGAGATTCACTTGACGTACAATGCAAAATTACTAATTACTAATTTGTAATTAGTATCTGATAGATTGTCTGTAATTAAATTTCTTGTAACACAGATCGCGTTAATGAGCAACTATTATATCTACGAACGTCTCCAAATTTATGTACCACCCTCCAAGAATTATTAATGGAAATCTACCATTAATAGGTCATCGACGATTTCTAATTACAGATGTCGTACAAGAACACGGGCTCATTGAACGCTCGACGATCAGAAGTGACGAGTTTGAATCACCGTTACAACGCTCTACACTATAATAACCTAGTATACTAGTTAGGTAATTAATTAGAGGATAAAAAAAAAACAAGTCAGTAGAACGACTTCGCCGGCAGCCACGCGGCGATGACGAAGAGGCTGATGGTAAAAAAAAAAAGAAAAGAAAAAAAAACATTGGATATTCAGCACTGAACCCAGTCCGAGTAGAATTCACGCTTCAGAGTTCTCGGATGCTCGGATAGAACGAATTATCTGCTAGAAACGCATCGATTATCCCATTCGCTCCTTTTATTTTCTCCCATTCTCCATCTCTTCTCTTCAGGATACATCGTTTCCTTTCTGTCTTCATCCACGATCCCTACTGCCAAGCGAGAATCGTATCAGAATGGCGAAAAACTTTCTCGACGCTTACCTATATTTCTTTTTCGTTTTCCAAATGAAACATCCTAGCACTACGTGAAAATCCGATCATCCGGGAAACACAAGATCGAGGGGAGGTAGAAGATCTCTCGATCGTGTTATCGTTCCGACGACACACTAAACTCCTAGTTTGATAATCACGATGAACGTTCAAGACGGGTGACTTTGCAACAATAACCAAAGAATACTCTTAGTTCCTGATAATGCAACGGCATGGCGATTGTTCGCCGACCGACTGTTAAAGAAACAAAAAGTTAACTATTACTGCGATTCGATCTATAGAACACGAGAGAACACAAGGTACACTCCTGGAGATTCTTTAGGAAAGAACACGAATCCGGTCGAGACATCATTCGTTTTTCACGAGCGGACTTCTTTTAGTTTCGAGAGCGTAGCTAAAAGGATATTACGCGACGCTAGGATGTCTAAACTCTGGTCCGAGAATGCGCGAGAAATATGAAAAACGTTAGGATCGTCTTTAGTGGTCTTTGGACAGGGATCGATACGCTGTCTCTCCTAACGCAAACTTGTCAATCACGTATACAGGGTGCTCGTCTCACGCAACGTCTAAAAGAAGAAGAAAAAAAGAAACTGATTTCTAAAAATGGACTACGTATGAAACTACGAGATACACGTTTACATGCGTATACATGCCGCTGTATATGATGTTATACAGGCGCATACACGCATGCACACATGCACAACACGCGCATACATTAATCACACACGTCTACGAAAGGGACACGTATGTAATTCGTGTGGGGATTGCGGAGAAATCATCAGTGCCGACCCAACATCCGCGGGGGTTATCGGTTCTCCTTACGTTTAAGAATTTCAAAACGCATAGGTCCGTGCTGTAGGTTTTATATACATTCTAATGACATTTAAAGGGATCGTCAGTGCCGTGTCAAAGTGGATGTCATCTTGGAGTCCGGTCGTCCGCGCTACGGCGCTCGTTTATCCTTCTGTAGTACTTATTATTATTAACCCCTTATTATCATCATCATTATTAAGTACGATTATGGTTAAGTGAAAAGAAAAAGCGAGCGAATATCCGGCCGAAACTAATTATCCATCGGGGTTCCTTTTCCAACCGAAGGATCTAGCGATCCTGATCGCTACGCTTCGCGATCCGATACGGATCCGGTTGTTGTTCGATGTCGAGGCTCGATGATCCACGAGTACGTTCTTTGTTTGACTGACCGGACACGCATCGCCCGAGAAATGTCAACTAGGCTGTGATTATCCAAACAAAACAAAAATTTAAAAAAAAAAATAAATAAAAGGACAATGTAACAAGGGGTGGAAACGACGACGACGTTGGTAATGATCAACGCCCTCTTACGCGGGATGGTCTTGTAAGGGAGGTAATGATTAATGGTATGCTAAAGAAATGATTGCCTGAATCAGATGAATGCATATAGTGCTCTTTTTATTTGGAGGTTTTATTTATCTAGTCTACGTCTAGTCATTTTTACATGTTCGATTATTGTTTGCTGTCAGACGTGATTTCTGAGCAGATATTTATTTAATATTTATATTTAGAGGTGATTAGATCGGTGATTTTTTTATCTACATGGAGATTAATTTTTTTTAGAATCAGCTGAAATATTTAACACTTTAGTCGCCATGGCAAAAATAATTAGTAGAATACACATTAAATTGAGTTATTAACACGTTGACTGTCTTTAGAAAATTATTATTAAAAATGAAAATAGTTAAATTAATTTAGTGCCCTTAATATTACACTTTCTATAATTTTAATGCCATTTAAAATTATCGTACTATTTTCATTTTTTTAATTATTTTAACGAATTATGTTCGTAATGCTATGGTGACGAACATATTAAATATTAATGTAATTTAATTATTATTTTCAAGGTTCTATAGTGGATCAAGTGCAATCTTTAATAACTTGTTACAGACTAAACGAATGGTTCTTATGCTCCATGTATGATAAATTTATTTATTTATGATTCACTAAAGACACTCGATATCTTAGTTGTTTCTCCTTTTTTTAGAAATATTGTTCGAAGTTTTTGTTGAAATTGCTTGTTATCAATGACCGAACAAACGCATGTAGCACTTCCGTTGGTACGAGTTCGCGAAATTTATGGCTATTGTCATAATTTCACGTGAATAGCAGCACACGGTACTTACGTAACAATTGAATATTTTTTTAAGCACGATGAACAAAAAAAAAACACTCGGACGTTTAACGAGCGATGCCCGGTCGAATCGCAATGTGAATGAAACGATCGCGAGCAAAAGCAGCGACGAGGATAGAACGTGGATAGATAAGGGTGAGAGATAAAATAATTGAAAGAAAAGATAGAAGGAAACGAGAGAAACATAAGAGGAGGGTAGTGTAGGCGAGCGATGGAACGGAGAGGAAACTCTGATCTAGCAAAAAAAAAAAATAATCAACCAAAGTACCAACAACTATTCTATATAAATATATAAATATTGAATTATTAAAGAGGAAGTATATAAATATATAAATATAAATACTATAAATATGGAATATAATATGAAATATAAATATGAAATATAATATATAAATAAATGCGAATGAATAAATTAATGAATATAATATATACGTATACCTATTAACGCACATTATATACGTATACGTATATGTTGATCGAAAGAAACTAGAGACTTAGTAAATTATTATAGTTTAGCTAAATCAACATGAAATAAATTATTACTTCGAGGGGACGGGTGAATGGAGAGGATCGGCTCTAGTCTGGCGCAATTTATTGAATTGCGATTCGAAGCTATCGCAAATTTATACGTTAATTAAAATAAATATATCCAATTGCTACAGAACGATACGTGAATATGTAACTAAATATACATGTGCGCGTACGTACGTCGCTTTACCGTACATACGTACGTGAATGCGTGTATATTTATTTATATATTTATATATGCACATATAAATACTGTACTTATATTTTAGGAACAGGCAAACTTTCTCCTTGCTTTACCACCTGTTTGTAAATTAATTGCCTGTTCGTACACTCGCACACACTCATACACATACATGAATCATGCAAATACTATTGCAAATTATTAATGTAAAAAAAAAAAAGGGAAGAAGAAGAAGATAATGTGATACATACGTGTATGTGGTTCACGTATGTAAACGTGGTGGGCGCGTACAATTAAAGTACTAATGAAGTTGAACCCGAAAGGAGGGGGTGTGCTATTAAATTCCTCTCCCTTGACGAGCTCGAATGGCTTGCTAGTTATTGATGACATGAAATACTATTATATTATACACGAGGAAAAAAAAAACCAATTAGTACTAATAAATAACAATAAACGATACTTTATAGGACGTATACATAATTTATACTACACGGTAAACATACGTATATATTATACATATATATATATATTCTTGTCAGTTTTAGGGACGCTAAAAATCCATCTATACTCGTGCATACATAAAGATGTACACTCACTGGTATACACGTGTACCTGCGTATGTATGTACGAGGATGTAGAGCAAATGTAATCACAAACGCGGGCGTAGATTCGTAACGTTGAAACAAAGTAGAAGAAGTCTATTGTAACGCTGAAGAGAATAAAATCTTTGCCACGTTGTACCGGTGCAAGTTCGATGAAACTTTCATTGATTGTTTGAGAGAGAAACATAAATTGTTGGAATTGATCAGGCATCAAGGTGACGAAATTGAGATGTGTTCCTGTTTACTCTGTTAAGTATTTATCGGGATGTGAAAAGAGGGCGCAACGATGAACGACGATGCGATTTAGAAATGTTAACGGATCAGATCTGTTAGAGAAACCGAGTGGAAATGTTAACTCTATGTTCGTCTAGGCAAATATAAGAGAAGGAACACCGCGTGATCGTATGTTTGCCCGATCCGTGGTCCAATCACGGACCATAAGAGCAATCGCGGAACGGAAAGCCTGAGTACGCACGCATTGATCCAGCCATAGGGACAGAAGCGCAAACACAATTAGGAAATGCGTGTCTATCTTTACCAGGCTGATGTATCACGCGAACAATCTACAGAGAGGGTGAGGGGGGTTATCTGCGGCTGTGGAACCTGCAGATGAACGTTTCATTTCTCATGGTATTGTGAATGCCTCTCGGTACACGTCCGGCAAAGACGATTAGCGGACAAGCTGAGCGGATTAGACTCGGCTAGATGGCCGTCTACGAGTTTCCTATTCCGAAGACCAGTCCGTTCATCTCTCCGCTAAAATCGAATCGACGCATTCCATTTTCGAAATAGCATTAGCTATTAGTGTCATCTCTAATGGTAGATGTACACCGTCGGTCATGGGAGACTTCCTTGGGGAAAATGGCACCAATGTTGAAGCAGGTGGCGCCTCTATTCGCACGCAAACGTTTGTTCAAGAGAATTTCATTTGGTATTCTGTTTTTAATATTCTCTAATTATGTAGTCAATTTTTTAATATTGATGTTTTCGAAATTACTATATTCAAAATTAGAATTTTAATCAGAACTCTTTTTCTAGTATTATAGCTGATGATAACTCTCCTTCTCGTATGTTGCCATTTTTCCTTGGAAAGTCTACCTTGCTCGGTACTGTACAACACACACAAGTCCCCTGCATTGTAACCCTTCTTCGAACAGATGGTACTCTAGAGTCATTATTTCCTTTAATCACCATGTAATCCATTTTACCAAACTGATAAGTGCAAATGGATTTACTTTGCAACGTTTAAAAATTTGATAATATTGAATTACAGAAATTTTGAAATAATTATATCATCACTTATTATTATAAAATAAGCTTAGTTCAAAAACTTGCAGCCCCCATAATTTGAAGAAGGGTTCATTTTATTTGTTCCATAGAATGTTTAATTATCTAACAGTCACATTTAATATTATTTTTTTTTTTTTAAATCAACCGAGTTCCAAATCAAAGAATTACACGTGTATATCGTGGGATACAATTTAAAGAATGTTAGACAGCCACAGTGATAACACACACGTACACATAGATCAATGCACACGCACGCGACACAAATACAAAGAGAGAAAGATTGAGAGACATGTATACTGGTAAAAGCTTGTATGCAAGCACCAATTGATAATATCACTACGATCTAAGCTTTTTAATGTTTAACAATACTAATAGCGAATATCAAGGTACACAACCTATCCTAATAAAAAAAAAAAAAGAAATACCATTAATAATATTGTAATAATTTATAGTTACATAAATTCATATAAATATAAAACTATACATAAATATAAATATATTATATATAAATGTATAAAAATTCGAGGATATAACGAGACAATTGTAAACAAACCAAAAGCAAAAAAATACAACTATTTTATCCAACAAAGTTTTTGCTACAACCGAAGTAGTATGCATCTTGCTGTGGAGTAAATGAGACTTAAAAGGTGAAAAAGGGAGATAAAAATATTCTTAGCTCTAAGGAACAAAAAGATGATAATAGTAAATCCGTGTGGATCAGCTTCGAATTTATTTTTACATGACCTGATGTAATTGCTGAGACGAATTCGCTGCTCGCTAATTAAATGTTCCGAATTCTGCTCGAGAAGCGACTTGTTCGCGAGAGAAAAAAGAGAAAAGAAGAAAAAAAAAAAGAGATTTCGAGCGTCCTGACGGCGCACTCGAGTATCGAGGAGTTTTCTGTTAATTTCCGTTCTACTTGAACCTAAGAATCTTTTCGCGAACTCTCGGGGCTGCAGTTTTTATCGATGAAGTTCGTTGAAACCGTAAAATTGGTACTCGTGGTCGTCGTTGTCCAACGGAATTGACAACCATAAAAATTACCCTGGAAAAAAAGGAACGTAACGAGCAACAATTTGCCATTTATCTTTAACCACATGTTTCCGTGTAATTTTTATGGTAGCCACGGGGACACGCGGGAAAATTCGATGGGAAATATGGGAACGAGTATCCTCCGCTCTCGAACCTTAATACTAACATTTAATAAATAATAATAAATAACGATCAAACATCTCATGTAAACATACTAGCATTTTACCACTGTACTCGCACACGAAAAGAAAAAAGAAAAAAATGAAGAATAAACAGCCAAAATTATCAACCCTCTCGACGCCCTCTATCAACCCTCTCAAGTCACGCGCGCCGCGACCTGATATCCGGTAGCCGTGGTGTCGGTGATACTAGGAAACAGGGTATGTTTTTGCAATTATTTGCATAACTTGTAAAGAACTAGCAAACAAAATAAAAAGAACAAAATAAAAAAAATAAATGAACACGCACACGACCGATTATACGTACATCATTCTACACAAAAGATACACGTACACACATGTTCACATATGCACTCGGACACGCGTGGTCTCGGTACACACTTATAGGTAACTCAACACGCTGTAACACACGCATTATTGCAATGTGGAATGCGAGCGGGGCTAAACATTTAACTAATCGTACTATCCTTATCTCTATGGATATTAAACTAAATACACATACGTCTCATCGTAGACTTTAAGCGCGATCATTCAAGGTTTACCAGAGTTCAGATCCGAATTTCATCGTCATCGTCGTCGTTACAGTTTCGAAAAGAATCTGTGTAATGGTGCTCTCAGGTCACGTCTTCGTTATACGAATATTTGAGATAATACAGGGTGTGATGGGTACAGGTGGGCATAGGGTGATTTTTCAAATAAAAATAAATTGAAAATGTGGTATGAAATGATTTTGTAAGAAGCTTAGTTTTTGAATTAATTTAATTCAAAGATTTCAGAGATGTATGATCACTGCAATATCTCCAGATTTTATATTTGTGTTAAGAGGAATAATTTTATTTAAAATTAAAATAAAAAAATAGCTGTTTATTTAAAAATTTAAACATCAATTTAAATTTAATTTTGCCAAAAACTAAATTTCTTGTGAAGACTTTTTCTTCTGTATTTTTATTTTACTTTTACACTCTGAAGAATTACCCCATGACCAGGTATACTCTTCATCTTGCCACCCTCCGTATAACACTCATAGAAAAATAATTTTTGCATAGAACACGATATGCTCTTTTTTGGATCAAATAAAATATTGATTTTCAAAATTCGTGTTGAAGACGAGAAATGAGGGAAACTGTACTTAAAGTCAGGTTCGTCATCGCGGCGTCAGGTGAATCAACGCACTCGTTCTTCCTTCCCCTTTAATTTCATTTTTTCTTTTTCGGCTTCTCTGTACTTCTCTCACCTGACAAACACAAAACCAGTGATCACTTTCTCGACACTCTGATGCGCTCGCGCGCGCGCGTACGCCAGACACGAAGCGGAGCAAATTAGGGGATTAGTTGAAATCGTTACTCTCTAAACATAGATTTCGCGGTTACTTAACGGTTAAAGACGGTAAATAACGAAGAAAATAAAAAAAAAAAAATAAAAAAAAGTAAACGGCGTTACTTCAGACGAGTTCAAGCAAGACCGATGTCAATTCCTTCAGGTACGCTTATGCGTTTATCGCGAGAACAACGCGAGCATTCGGTTTTTTCTAACGTACCAAATCGATGTCTTTTTCCATTGCGACTGTATTAATGTTAGAATCGGCACACGATCGTTGTAGTCGTTGGTCATCCAAAATTATCGTAGTACGTTCGTTCGAGTTCGTGTAGGTACGAAAAAGAGAAAGAAAAAAGAAATAATCAAAAGAGATGAACATAGAGAAAAAAAAAAGAGAGAGAGAATGAATAATTAATAATAATCTCATGGTATCTTGTATATTTACCCGGCCACATTTCGATCGACTATCCGGGACCAATCATACTTTCCGACTTGAAACAACGCGTTTCCTAGTTCTGCCGTTCGGTATGCAAGAAATTTCTTAGGCGAATTACGCATACCGTTTTAGATAGCGTAACGTTCATCATCTCTTTCTGTTCTACAACATTTCAATGGTACCCGTCTTGGACCAACGACGCACGGGGTCACGGAACGAATCATAGTGAAACATACAGAAGGATGAGACTTTTTGGAAAATAATTTTCATCGAGTACGATTGAGATATACGAAAAATCTTTTCCTTCTGTGCGAGGGATGAAAAAAAATAATCTGCAAGATGCTTTAGGATTTATTCGATAAATCGCCCCCTGTTTCGAACTGAACCGAACCGTACACACCGTATGCACTTGTTCGCATAATTTTGTTTTAAAAAGCGGGGACGATGCGGATGGCACCACTTCGAAACTCTTCTCCAAAACTTCCCCTCCGCGTTTGCAAGGCGACTATTGAAATTAGATACATCTATCATTTATCGGTGTGCAACATTCGATTTGAAAGATAAAGAAAACACGCGAGGGAGGTATAGTTGGAGGCGGAAATATCGGGTGCTCGTAAATTAAAACACATTAGAATATTTCATTATTCCTTTATTCGTAGTTTCAAGTCCCTGATACAAATATTTCTAATTAGATAAATAAAAGAATTCTTAATGATATCTGTGACACGTTAAAGTTGAAGTGTATTTCCGCTCTCAACTATACAGATGAAAGGACGAAATTGATGTTAATCACACTGCTTGTCGCTCTTGTATAAACATAGAGAAATAACAGACACGGTGAACGTTGAGGAGGAGGAGATCTTCCTTCGTAGACATCCCTTTTCTTTTTTCTTTCAATCGGTTAGGACTGAATGTGTCGGTGTTTCTTTAGGACCGATCGGAACGTCGAATACCTTGCAGACGTGAGAACGTGCGACGAGTTAAACGCATAAGAGAGAAAGGAAACTTTAAGTAAACGACACCCGTAAAAACGAGTATACACGAATTGTTGAAGCGAATTAACGACGCGTTACGAATCGTCGATTCGTGACGTCGGCTGATTCGGTGATCGCGTTCCATACTCGAAGAACTAGTCGATGATCAGCCTTTTCTTTCCGTTCCTCGCGCGAGCTCTTTAGGACGATGAAAGGGAAGTTTTTTTTCTCAAGAGCGTAGAGAATGGAATCGATGGTATTTTTCGAAACTCGAACAAGAACGGTCCGTTTCGAAGCGGAAACGAATTGAGGATCGCGATGGTCGATACCATCCTCGTGCCACCCACGATGGCTGGACGTCACGAATCGACCTTAGGGAGTCGTTAGAAATCTTGCATCTAGAGAATAGTTAGGCCACCTAGTCAGAAATAAACAAGGGCTAAAGAGGGGGACGATTGTTCGGCGCGAGGAACGCGTAAGAAATTTTAAAAAGACGTCAAATGGTAGCAGAACGTGTACATACACGCTTCCATACGCCTACGCAACACTGCGGATGACGAGGGTGCGCGTGTATGTACACGGGTATTCTTGCGAATAAAAACACGTTTAAATTAGAAGTTTGAGAAGAAGAAAAAATTTGCATATAGCATAGTTTTATATAGCGTGCCATTTATGCGTGTAAGCAAAATGATATACATAAACAATTACTATGGTTATCGCTAACACGTAAGGTTATTAACAAAATGAAGTATAAACAAAGTATGCACTATAATCACTTATACCAGGGGTGGAAGAGAGATGAAAAAAGAGAAAAAATGAAAAAGATGATGCACACACGTGGAGAAAAAAGGGAGAAACACGCACTTGCAGTGCTGTTTAGGCGGAGAGATATAAATATTATATATCGCGCGCGTATATGATTGAATTAGGGATAAATAAAAAAAAAAAAGAACACGTTGAAATTAGGCGTGTGATGGATCGTGAGAAAGAGAGGGAGAGAAAGAGAATAGAGAGAGAGAGAAAGAGTGCGTAAAGTTATTTAACAGACAGAACATATTTTAAATAATTAATCGCCAAACGATAAGTTTTTAACTCTAACTCTTAGCGCGTAAGGTCGAGATAATATACGAAATAAAACAAATATATATATATATATATTATATATACATACATACTTAATGATTGAAAGTCGACTCTAAAATTAAATGTAAACCGAAAGCATACTTATATAAAAAACAAAAAAGCCGCGCGCGGGTAGACATCGAGACATTAATTGAATTACAAAGGATCTCATGAGATTTCTGGGAGAGAATTTTGGACGCTAGTGAAACCTCGAGTAATTTTACTCCTCGATCTGGATAATATTTTCAAATCGTTTTACTAAATTTTCTGAATTTAATCGAAGTTTTTCTCATCGTGTTGGACACCTATTGTGGTCACGCTTACAGCTGTTCTTTGATATTGATTATTAATATGTAATTAATTCGTTAAGTGACGCAGGGGTACCGTATGATTTTTACGAACCGAGAATTCGTACAATCTACAAATTATTTTAATAGACACAATTCAACGAAACTTTAATTCCTTTTGCATATTTAACACTTTGAGTGTCATATTAAAATTGTAATTTTATTTGTAATACATTCAATGGATTTTTATATTTAGTATTTTCTGTTGGACAATTTTTCTGGTATTTATCAAAATTATTATGTAATTAATTATTAAAATTAATACGTGCGATATGGCATTTCAAGTGTTAAAAGAGAGAATCGTATTATGTTTATCGTTTTTGGAATAACACCCTCAAAACAGAATATTGTGCCAACGATAAATCTTCCAAATGAATTTTCACATTGAACGCGAATCAGCTATCGCAGCACGAGACAATATTAGGATATAGAAAAAAATGATTTGTCCCTAACATTTAACTTATCTTTTGTTAATCTTCGATATCGTTCAATTTATTCCAATTAATTCCAATATTTATTTCAATTTATTTATTTATTTATTTTGAAATGATTTTCAAAATTTCATATCTCATAAAATTTTCATAAAAATACAAAAGGAATTTAACCCTCTGGCTGCGACTTAATCATATAATAGTAGCCTGAAATTAAACAAAAATAAGAATAAAAATCAAAACGATTTATCTTTGTTTAATTATGAAAAATACAGCAAAATTAAATTATAGGCTATTTAGTTCTCTTAAGTTGAAAAATGAAGCGATTATATTCTGAACAGATAATTACTGAAATTATAGGGTGTTATATCACTCAAGACCACTTTCACTATGGCAGTTAGTGTTGTGGATGTATTAGAGTGTATACACACTATTCGCAGTCAAAGGGTTAATTTTTCTTCTGACAATGAGTTAGAAGAAAAGTAAATGGGCAGTGGGAGTGGCTCGGTTCTTGGAAATCGTAATGTACCCCTTCGGCGCCTGCTCCGAGTGCAACAGTTGGCTAACAAGTGGCTGTTTCGCACGAATCGCATTGAAATCACCGAACGAAATAAATCTAAAGCATTTTCAAGACGAAATTATATCGGAATCTTTTAATTACAGCTTCTTATTCGTGGATAAATTTTGTCCAAAGTATTTCTATTGACCTGTTTGAAACAAAATCGTGAGTTCTTATCGTTGTCATTCATGTCTCTAATACCTTTATTATTTTAGTAAGATTTTACCATTTATTATTGTGAAAAAGTACAGTCTTTGAACTCAACAATTTAGATTTTTAATGATATTTTTACAGGGCCCAAAATTGTTAAATTTCCAATTTACTATTTAATCAATCATCATGAAAGAGTAGAGGGTAGTTTTCTTGAAAATAAAAATCAATCACTATTGATTTTCCCTTACAAGTATAGAATTTCTATATCCAATAAGACTTCAAAATTTCAACCCTTAACGAGAGAAAATAATTTTGAAATATCTGTGCTATTCTGAACAGACGACAGTTGCAAGAGATACGTGTAACATAGTTAAGAAGTTAGCCTAAGGAAAGGGGAGAATAGTCACGCCCAGAACGTACCGTCCAGAAAATTGTGGAATTTCGTTATACGTTTGCCCGATAGTGTTTTTCAACGGCTGCAAAGGTTTAACGTGGTTAGAGCTAGCAGCAGTATCTACGATAACTTATTATAGATCAATTTCACTAGCTTCTTTCTCGAAGGAATCGTGGCAGGCTTAAGAACGAAACGAATATTATGTAAGTGCGTATATTATGCAGCTGTCGTATGTTCGTTGCAATAATCAGAAGAATTTTACATACCACGATGGTGTACACGTAATTTTGAGACTGACACATACACAAATGATCATTTAATTAAAATCTTCAGAGTCTACGAATCTAGTCAAAAGTCGTAATGGCTGAAATCTAGTCAGAATTTTATAGATCTTATCCTGAATTGTTGTTGATTATGATCAATATTATTTTGTTTTAATTAAAATAATTAGCAGTCGTGTGTAAAGTATCTGAATTAGATTTTGGTTAAGTGAAAATTTAAATAAAGTCTAAATACTAATTAAAATTCGAAAATTAACCCTTCCGCTACGTACATTTGTAAATATATTTTAATTTGCAATAAGATATCTTTCCTCCTTCTAATTGTAATTTTTTCATTTTCATTACCTTCGAGTAAAATGACTATAAATTAAGTTACAAAAGGGTTAATAATTTTGCATTATATATCTACTAAAAATCTCAAATATAATTCTAAAGATTAGATGAATCAAAGACTCCACAAAATGTGCAGTCACCAGAGTGTTAAATCAGAAACTGATTAACTATTTTATTTTTCAATATTTAATTAATCTTTTCTGATGATTTTTCAAATGCAAAAAAAGAAATCTTTGAAATAAGATACACGACTGCAATGAGATTATAATTCATATATCGAACAGATATCCGATCGACGACGTTGAGCATGACGTTTCACTCGCGTTCCCCTGTTAAGGTTCGCTTTTGACCCGTTGGATCACTCGAAAGGCGACTTGACTGCATCCCGTGCTCGAGGCTAACACAATGTAGAATTTTTTAACTGTATTTACGACTATAACCTAACCTGTATATTTTTACATATTTAAATATAGGGAAAGAATCCGGGGGTTGACGCGAGAGGTGCGAAGGCGAATCGGGTACACATTAAAAAAAAATGAGAGACAACCATACCATACAAACTGATATACCAATTAGAAACACGTACACGCAAGTATTATACCTCGATAATGTTAAATCGAAACACAAATTATACATTTTTACAAACACTTACACACATCTACACGCGCGCACCACTCATATGCAAAAAAAAAGAAAAAAGAAACGGGATATCCTCTTGCCTTCAGAGAAGGGATAATATTAATACAGATATCGTGAAGTGGAATCAGTTTTATTGTTGATTTCAGAGTGGCATACAATAAAAAAATTTTGTAAACGACGGCCCTTGACGTCCTCTCGCATCCGGGGCCCGAAAACGTTGCGTAGTATAATCAAACACCGATATACAATGCAAGTTTTTCCTTGGCCGTGTCACGGACCTCGAGGTCTTCGGGATCGCCGGAAATCGGATATTAAAATTACTTTTGCCGTTACCATTCACGTGACTACGATCAGATTTTTAGGGATGAGCCAGGTATAGGGGTGAGAAAATAATAAATAATAAATTGAAAATTTGGACGTGTTAGAGGTCTTAGAATTTTTTAAAATTTTTATCTTGAACTGAGTTGATTTAAAAAATGTAGGGTTGAAAATTTTGAAAGTCTTGAACCTTTGAGACTTTCAAGACCTTCAAACTTTACAAGAATTCAAAGCATTTGGAACATAAATTTTATTAATAAGTACTGTTTTATGTATTCTAATAATTTCCTGGTGAAAAGAGGGGGTTAATTTGCATTTTTTGAAGGGCCTGGCTCGCCCTGATCCCTACTTATGGTTATGGTCATAATAGATCAAATTGGTGAATAATGGTGGTCCAGAATGACACTTCGCGATTCCGAAAACTCGTCGATGTCCGTCTGGGCCCGAAAGAATTTGTACATAAAGTTGCAACCATGGCACACTGGGTGTGCATTAAATGCCGGTGCACACCGTAATGTCCTACATAGCGAAGTACTAAAACTATATAGTGCATGGAAATAATAAAACGTTCGCTGCACCAGTGGGACACGTCTTTTGGAACGCCCTCCCCCTTTTTCCCCTTGACGACGAATCTCGCCCTTGATGCCGCGATTCTCGCTTGCAAATTACTCGTGTGCAGACCGATGGTTTGAAAAGTGCATTTTCATTTGCATATTCTTAAGCTTTGCATAAATTTCCATATAATGTCCTGGACAGTTTTAAACAATTCCCTGAATATGTTAGGAGTGTGCAAAAGTTTTAGTCTTCTTTATAAATCTTTACCAAAGTATTAGATACATGAATTAATTCGCTAATCTTTCTCCCTTTGATTAAAATTTTATTTATGGGGATTTATAATTTCAGGCCAGATATTGGCAAACTGTTTAAACAAATTTTAATTATGTTATGCCACGAAAACAGTAGAAAAGCATATGTTTTCACCCTTGAGAGGTGGACCACTGAGACAATGACAATTAAAATTTAATTGTATTTCCATTTTCTAAATTTTAGCCTATTCGCTCAGACATTAATTTCGAATATCTGAAATTCTCGCATTTGAAATTTTGATTGTCTAATTTTATTTGAAGTAACATTGTATATATTTTGTAGATTCGAGTCATTGGCTCAGTTTCGCTTTTAGAGGGTTGAAAGAAACAACTGTAAGACTGAAGGAAATTACATCGGTTCTGTATGCGAAGGAGACCAGAGCATAGTGTGTTAAAAAAAGGATTGAGCGTGCAAATAAAAAAAAAAAGAACAAAAGAAACGTTATTTATTGTAAGTACAACAGTATTAATCCTTGCTAAACAACATTAATATTAAAATTGAATTTGTGAATTGGTCGCACGACGAATCTATTATTAATATTATCATTACTTATTGTTACGATTATTATTATTATCATCATGGTATCGCTATTTATCATGCTTGTCGATGAGAAATTACTGTACCTAGAACGAGAACCGTAAGCCGCAGTGACACGCGAACGGCATACGATTAAAATGAGTGTATGCAAGTGAGTGCATGTGTGAGTGAAGCGCAGAAAAGCGACTAACGAGGGGCAGAAAAGAGAAAAGCAGCAAACGAGAATTCGAAGCAACGTTAGATAAGCAAACGTTAGTAATTTATATAATGAGAGTATGGTAAGAAAGGGAGGGAGAGTTTTAGCATATCAACGCGACAAATTTTACGAAAGCATGCGCGGAACAATGATAAGATTCGCGGTTATAGAAATATTTCGATATTGTATATGTATTTAGACAAAGGAAAATTAACAGAGAATCGTGACGATTCGCCTTAATCGATCGAGACAAACTAAAACGTTTTCTTTTCTCCAAGAAAAAAAAAAAGAAAGAAAAAGAAAATATGGAAAGACACGGTGCATGCGTCCAGATGAAATCTGTAATCGTTCGAAGTATTATCAATTGTGATTGTAAATAAAAACCACGGCTTAAAGAGTACGTATCTCTTTCGACTACGGCGAATCGTTTCGATGGAAACATTGAAGGGAACGAGATAAACGGCAATGGTCAAACGGTGTTACGAGTGTTAATAATTTCACGGCAGGATGTAAAGTCGGTGTAAAATATAAAAGTTATATCGAATCGCGATGCGATTGGTTGATCGTTGATGCGTCCCGTCTCGAGAAACTCGTTCCAATCGTTTCTACTAGCGATAGAATTGTTATTGTAAAAGTTCTAACGAACGAAAAAATAAAAAACGGAGAGGAAACGGGGGCGAGAACGAACATTGGCGAGGGGAAATGGAGCGGAGTTATGATTAAAGGGGGAAATTTTTGCGAGGAACAGCGCGAACGGAAGATATGCCAGTTTGGATTATTATTTTCATAAGGAACGTGTAATATAAATATGTAATGTATATCGATATGACGAATTAACGTTATCATCGCGATTATGATCACGACGGTGATGACGGTTAATATTATTATTGCTATTATTATGGTTATCGATTATGATTATTATGGGATGATGATGATGATTATTATTATGATTATTATTATTATAACAAGAAAAAAAAAACTAATACATTATATAAAATAAAAATAATTATACTTAAACACTTACGTTAGGAAGCTAGATACATACATTCAAGCAAGCGAGAACGAATATATGAAATTATACATACACACGAACACACATCTGGATGACATTAATTAACGTCGTACATTTATATATCAAGACTTAGAACACGGTGACGTGTGCGAGAAGTAGTCGAGAGAAAGGAGGAGAACAAAAGACCGTGTGAAAGACAAGAGAGAATGGGAGAGAGAATTTTTTAAGCGTACTTCGAGAGAACCTACGTTTCGTCGAGGATCGTGAAGTAACGTTTTGCGTGTCGTTGATGAAAGTTCCTTTTATCTTTCGATTGTTGACATGCAAAACAACTTTTGACGCTTCTTCTTAGACGCGAAACACTTCTTTCGCAACCGGAAGCAGGTATCGTTGTCCTTTTTCTTTCAGACGAGAACAAGTTTAATTCCGATGTTTCTTTATCGCGAAAAAGAGATTAAAAATAATGGAAAGAGAACGTTGCTGTGTGTAAACATTTCACGAATCGGTAAACGAAGGAAGGTTCTTCGACGTTCGCATTTTCACGCCACAGACGTGTTCCTGTATTCGTCGAATAGTCCTTTTCTATTTCTTTTTTTTTTCTTTTCCTTTTCTAATTTTCATTCTTACTTTCATTGATTCTTCTTTAATCAAAGGAAAAAAAAAGAACAAAACAAAAATGAAACTACGCCGAGCCGAAAAGTTCTCTGTACGACGTACCTTATCCCATTCGGAGCTCGCATACAGACTACATAAATTTAGCTATAACGGACATGGCCATTAGCAAAGAGAATGTACCATTCAGATAGTTTATCATTAAATGAAAAAAAAAAAAAACGGTAATCATTATAGCTATATTAACGACATTATTTATATTATTACGCATATTATAAAGATAATTGATAACACAGATACTAATCCTAGGGTGAAGTATTTCGAAGGGGAGAAAATTTTGAAAAAAAAAAAAAAATGATAATGACACGCGACTGCAGTGTTGCGATGGCGGCGGCAGTGGCGGCGGAGACGTGCCATTTCGAACGCGAAATGAAAAGCCGTCACCGGGTCAGAGAAAAAAAAAAAGAAATGAACAAAGTGGAAGAAAAATGAATAATCCGCCAATTACTTTAACTTTGACAGTACTATTATTTGTATATGCCGAACGATTATGCCGTTTTCAGCGCAACATATTTTGGCGATACTCTTTGGTGGTATAACTCACGGTGATCAATGTCGAACGGGGTTTGGGGTGGGTGGGTAGAAAGGGTTGACGGGACGAAGATTAAGGGGCGGTAGGTGGAAAGGAAAATAAACAAACGAACAAAATAAAAAAAGCAGAAGTTTCTATACTTTTTACGGAGATTGTTATAGATTAAGCGCACACTGATCAAGGCATTCGTCGCTCGGCAAAGCATAATACAATTATTAATATAAAATTTATAACAGAAATAAAATAAATGAAGTTAATAAATATGTACACTGTATAATAAACATTATTTCCTATTAATAAAGAATGGCATTTTTAATCGACAATTCCTAGATTACACCTGATACCTAAGTTGGGCCCCTGATTTATTTTATTAAAGTATTATAGACTAGCAGTCAGTTATTGTTATAATCGTTATTGTTTAATTGGTTTCTATTTCTTTAATTTGTAAAATTGTTTTAGCATTTCTTCTCTTCAATATTGTTTAACTTCTTACATTTACAATCTCTATTTACATAAGAGTACCATTAATTTTATGTTTAAAAATTTATCCTTCTTTTAAGTATCTTTTACATTTCTCAGAGTAATTATATTTAAATAAATTATTCCACTGCATAGCGCAAGTTAGATTCAGTTTATTCCTTTCCTTTATTAACTATGGTATTTTGGAAGATTTAAAATTTAGAACTGTGCTATAATATATAGTATATAACTAAATTTCAATCTTATATATATAAAACGGTATATATTATGGCATTCGGGGTCCCCAACACCCCAAGATGATATTATGTCGGTATGGAAACAGGATCACAGGCGCTTGGGGTCCCTAACACCCCAGGATGATACATCGGTATATAGAGAGAATGCTTCGCGGTCCCTGACATCCCAAGATGACATCAGGTCGGTATGCAGAGTGCGCCACCGATGCATCGGGGTCCCTGACACCCCGGCTGCTAAAATGTCGGTATGCAAAGCGTATCACCAGCGATCAGGGGTCCCTAACACACCAAGATGATTTCAGATCGTTATGCAAAGGGCATCACCGGTGCTTCGGGGTTCCTAGCACCCCGAAATGATATCAGGTCCGTGTGCCATCTCCCTGCGGCTCGGGGAGGCTTAGAATACGGCCACGGTAACCCCTGCCTGTCGTAAGAGGCGACTAAAAGGGGGAACACAAGCGAGCGAAACATAAAAGTGTCGAAAAGTTCTTTCCGGATTTTATTTAATTTACTTTATTTATTTTCTATGCTTATTAAATAAGCTCATCGAAAGGGAATAAACTTTATGATTGTATCCCTGTTCTAGGCCTCGGCCGAGGACCTCTTTTATTTCACTTTTCCCAGTTATTTATATAATTTTATCCCTCTTTATAGGCCAAAGCCACCCCTTTCAGTTATTAATTAATAACTGCTCCCTAACTATTTATTACTTTACTCCTCTTTATGGACCAAGGCCTCCCTTGGCAGATATTTATTTCTTCACTCTTCACCCTTGTTCTCTTATATAATAACACGTATCAATAATAAAATAACAACCATTGCATTTCAAAATAAAAATAATCCATATTTTATTAGAAAGTCATTTCAAATTCTATAAATACACCTTTTCATGCAATTAGTTATTAACAACCATGTTTTAAAAATAAAACACAAATTCTGTTGAATTTCATTCATATACATTTTTACAAGGCTCTTGATAATAATAAATATGATAATTTAACGATAATGGAGGATTAATGTTAAAAAATGGAACACATGTTTATAAACAAATATACATATATTTCTATAGAAACATTGAATTGTGTAAAGTTTCGAGATCTTTTTCCCTATCAATTGCACGTTGCTTTTCCTTTCTGTACATCTCATAGTCTTCATCATCTGTTGGTAACTGGTATCTGCAGAGCGGACACGAATTTGTCTGTAATTAAGAATTTCTTTTTATCGAGCGAGTAGTGGTTTGTTTACAAAATCTGATAAGAATGACTAGCAGGAATTGATACCTTTTCTAACCACGGTATTATACATTCTTGATGAAAAATATGTTTACAAGGCATGCGTTTCGCAAATATTCCTGTCTCAAAATCTTTCAAACAGACAGGACACTGTTTTGAATCTGATGCACCAATTTCGATCTCTTGTAAATTTTCAATTGCAGATTTTGACGCAGGTGGTGGTAACCTGGTTGTTTGTCCTAACAAATCCCACATACCAAAATCTCGTAACAATCTAGCCATTTGTATTAAATGATTTGGTGCTTCACCATCTCTCAACGGTGTCCAACCCATTTCTTCAAAATAATCTGACATTTTTTAGACACAATCCTTAGAATGACACTTCTATCTCAACACCAGATCGTTGCTATGCTTATTTTTCCAATATTCTTTTATCTATCAGTCTAACCTTGTTTTATGACCACTCACTTTACCTGTCAATCATTCTAAAACTTCAAGTCACACGTTTTCAGCACTTTTTGGTTAAACCTAGGAATAATAACACTCAAGATAGTTTTACCACAGAGGAGATGTGAGATAGACTACCAAACAAACAAGAATTCGTGTCTCACGGTCTGAAATACCGACTTTTATCAGTTGCTCTGTTGCGCACTCTACAATTCAAACCATTATTTCAAGTAAGTAATAAATAAGTAAGTACTTACAACCACGAGCAGGCAAGGCGTCCCACTGAAGAAAAGTTGGTTAGTTATTAACTAACTTAACAATTTATATCTTAAAAAATTGCTTCCTACTTGCTCCCTCGAAATTTAAAATTGCTCAAATTGTTGGAAAGAAATTAGAGGACGGTTATTATACTTGTGCCCTCTATGTACGGGCCTCATTTCATCCTGGGATGTCAGGGACACCAAGCACTGATGGAGCTACCGACCTCATTCCACCATGGGGTGCTTGGAACCCCGAAGCACCGTTGACTCTCTCTGCATGGCATCATGAGTGTCAGGGATCCTATAGCGAAAATACACGAACCATAGACTTTCTATAGGCTATTACATCTACCGTCGGTATAATTGTCGCGTACTTTATCGACGCCAATTATACCGACGGTAGATAATACCGACAAGTGAAATATAAAAACGGATAGCAAAATATAAGACCTAGATAAACGAACTGCATCCCTTATACATAGACATTCTTTAAATTCCTATATCCTTAACATCTCTGCATCCCTCACATATCAGCATCGCCTACATACCCGCTTTTATTATATCCCCGCATTCCTTATATCTCTGTACTCCTCACATCTCCGAATCCTTTACATCTCTGTATCCTTTACATCGCTGCATCCTTTATATCTGTCCATCTCTTACATTTCTGTATCTCTTTATAACTAATAAAAAGTAACTAAATGTTGCAATATTTCGAATCAGCGCCCTCTGATGGCGGAAAAAGGAACTAAATCATACCGAAATTTTGGCCCTCTAGCGGGAAAAATGCGAACTAAAATTTCGATGTCCAATCAGCGCCATCTGGTTTCGGAAAAAGGAACTAAACCATGCACCATTTTTGGCCCTCTGGCGGCAAAAATGTGAACTAAAATCTCGACGCCCGATCAGCGCCATCTGGTTTCGGAAAAAGGAACTAAACCAGGCATCATATTTGGCCCTCTGGCGGCAAAAATGTGAACTAAAATTTCGACCTCGAATCAGCGCCCTCTGGTGGCGGAAAAAGGAACTAAATTTGTACAATTTTACTTACCATTACTTACCTTTACTTACCTTTAATCGAACTGGTGGCCGGAAATAGTTTCCATAATATATTATTATATTTATTATAAGGGTTGCAGGGATACAAGAGATGCAGGGATGTAAAGGGTGCAGGAATGTACGGGATGCAGGGATGTAAGGGATGCAGAGATGTAAAGGGTGCAGGAATGTACGGGATGCCGATATGTAAGGGATGCAGGAATATAAGGGATATAGGGTTGAGCCCCGCCTGAAGCGGGGTCGCAGGGCTGCAGAGGGCCGGGGCTGGGGCCCCGGTCTCCACTGCACGCGGCCCAAGGAGTGCCGGCATCAGGTGTGGCCCCTGATGTCGGCGGAGTTTGGCACATGTGGGAGGGTCAGAGGTCAGACCCTCCCTATAGTCCTAATGCAGGCCACCGTGGTGGTTTTAGTGGGTAAAAATCCCACACTACCTCCGGCCCCTCCCCAGAGGGACTGGAGGTGTCTTTCTGAAGATTTCCACCACGTAAAAAAAAAAAAAAAAAAAAAAAAAACAGGGGGATTGAGCCTCGTGAGGCCTTCAAAGACAAAAGATATAATAAATGACTGGAAAGGGTGAGCTGAGGCCCGTGAGGAGGGGTAAAATAATAAATGACTTGGGTGGATGGTCCCCGTGAGGCCCACAAATAGAGGTGAAATGATAAATAAATTAGTAAAATAATAAATGAAAAGTATATAAACAAATGCTAAAATACATAAATGGTAGAAAGCATTGATAAATTTCAGTAGTTTAAATAATTAGTCGCTGATATAATAGATTACATCACGTTTTTCTATTATTATGAGCATTTACAGTATTTACATGTGTTTCTTTTTTACGAACGTTGGCAATTGCACTCAATACAAAAATTATAGATGCAGTAAAAAATCGCGTTTGCAATTCTGATATATAAATGTTTTACACTCAAGATTGCATAATAACTTAGTGACTAAAATAAACGTGGAAGTATGTGTTTATTACAATAATAAATATGAATTGATAATGTTTGCATATAATACGATGTTTTGTGCGATGTTACTAAATAAAAAAAATGAATCATAAAACATGCCTTCTTTTTGTGAATCTTACTTATTATACAAGGTATTTCAAAATGGTTGTATCCACAAGAATTACAAATTTTAAGTAAGAGAATACATCAAAGTCTTTTATTAATTTATAATTTACAGCTTCACTTTTTTGATATAAGCTATTAAAAATGAAATTTTCTAGTTTCCAAAATAATAAGGAACTTTTTGATTTCTTTTGAAACTTAAAATCTGTATCTAATTTCTATTGTACAATACTTTTTAAAACACCCTGTATATTATATATCCTTATTATATTCTTCTCTGAATAAAATTTGACACATTTACAATACAATTTGATATTTTTGATATTTGAAATTGAATTCTTTTTTACATAATTAGTTATACTTACGAATTTATACATACTTAAATCCTGATTTATTTTCAGAAATTTCCACTCAGAATTCATACCTCAGATATCGTCCTTAAAAAAGACTATGAAACATTTCTATTCTTTATTTTTTCATCAGTTTTCATACTTTAACGATATTTACATCACGCATTTATTAATTACGTTTGCAATAAGTATAGTATCTTAAAATTAGTGTAAATACAGAGCGAATTAATGTATACACACGAACCTAAATAATAAAGATTAAATAATCTTTTCTTTATGCAGATACGAGATACAAAATTAACTTATACGTGGGTATACATACAGAGACTCCCATGCAACTGGGCCAAGCTATAATTTCAATATGGTGAAAGTTTCTATATGTCAGTCGAAGCGTCGTTTTATTCTTTACAAAAAAGTATTAAGGTACTTAGGTCGAAAATTCATTGGTTCAAAAGATATCTTAGGGAGAGACACAGAGAGCCTCGTGGTCTCTCCCTATGATATTTTTTAAACTACTGAATTTTCCACCCAAGTGCTGTAATAATTTTTTGTAGAGAATAATAAGATGTAATGACTGCCATCGAGAGAAGTACAAAATTCAAAAAACATTTTTTAAATGAAATTGCATTTCAAATTGAGTTTGAAATCACTTCTACTTTCATTCGATGCCATTTAATTTAATTTTCATCTACCTTTTACTATTTTAAAACAGTCTTTTAGTCCAGTTGCATGGGACACCCTTAAAACAAAAATGTGTAAAATGTGATATGTTGAATATATTTACAAATTATATGTACACATACAAAAATGAATCTCAAAGTGTGGGTAAGCAAAATAAACTAAAATTAGAAAACATATTTCATGTATTCTAATCATGTTCTCTGTGTACAGTATACACATTTTGTTATAATATTCGACACATACGAACATATATATATATATATATTAAATAAAGATCGATAAAAATTAAAATTTATTATCACTCGTATCATATAGTGTACATATCAAATATTATACACAAAAGGTCTTAAAGTTAAATTATTGAATCATAATTAGCTGTCCTGCTAGACTCTTACATTACGGTGGTACCTTAATTCAGTGAAACATAATTATGCCATATCTACATCAATCATTGGCAAATTCTTGTCAAGTTTATTGTATAACATTTATTGACATTGTTAACTAAAAAATATCAAGGTTTATATATATATTTATGTATATATGAACAGTTGTGAAACACTCAAATCAGTCTTATCGACGAAATTTAAGTAAAATTAATCAATATCCTTGAAAAAATGAAAAAATTAATATTATTATCACTTCATTTTTATATTATTGATATATTTAAAAAACTCATTGTTCCGTTGTATTCCCTTCGCTACCGATTAATTTAAAATTGATCAGTCCATCTGACGTTGAATCTCATTTTTGACTACCTTACACGCTTATCGCATACCGAAGATCATATATGTCTTATCGTAGGACAAACGGTTAATCAAACCATCATCATACAGTAACTAGACGCGTGTCATCGTCGTCATATTAAACATAATATTCATTAACGTTGACCGCGTCAAAATCGCAGCCCTATACACAACTTTCTTGAGTGGATATCAATGGCGTACGAACGGTGACCACTTCTCTCGTGGGATTTTTATTATTCGTTGTCGCACCATTCAACTCCTGGAACGTGCTTTTGGTCGACAAAGGCGTTAATGCACACGACGATGAATTAGAGACATCAACCTTTGGTGGTCTTGCGTTGTGATCTATGCAAGCATAGATCGTCGCTTCTTTCGTGTACGGTTTACCACCTACGATTACTCCGCTTCCATAAGCCGGAAGTGTACTTAAACTGCCGATCCCGCTTATGCTCGTTAACTTCGTGTCGTTCGCTAATGTTGATAAGGTTGTTGGCCGTGCCAGGCACAATTCGGCGTACGTTATCTCTCCTGACAACTGGAAAATAACATCGGAATTACACAGGGAATTTCAAACAAGATATATGCAGCGAAAATTGAAGCTGGATTTTTAATTTTTAAATTTAAAAGATTAAATATTGGGTGTTTAATTTGTACTCTATACGAAAAACAAAAGATAAAGATATCGATTATCGTAGTGCTTGTTTGAAGACTTATTTTCAGTGTTTGTTTAATTGCTAATTGAAAAAGAAATCTCTTTTATTTTTTATTCAATCTTTTGAATATTTGCATTAAACTTAAAGTAACTTACCGGCAAAGTTGGATAATTATTGTACTCGTGTGAATAAGGCGACAACCCTTGTAGATGATTCACTTGCTGAATAGAAAGTGAAGTTGAGATAAGTCCGTCTGGGGTGTTTTGTGTAGCCAAAGGTGTGCCAGATATTGATCCCGTTAATTGATAATCCGAACCTTTTAATTTAAGATTTTCTCTTACTTTATATAGTTAAATTAATAAAACAAATGATTAATTACTGTTTTAGAAAAAATCATTACTCATTATTGAACTAGCATTGTACCTTTATTTACTGGCACGACGTCAGGGTTTCTGTCGTCAGTATCGTAAAGGTCCTCGGAACTTGGCGCTGTTCCTTTCTTTAACGGCAAGTCATTTGGTCTTTGAGTTCTTCTTTCATTTCTAATTTTCATAGCTGCCAGGATAGTAAGGGTAACCAAAAGTAGTGCGGTAATCACTCCGACCAATACGCCTAATAATGAGGTGATCTCGAAAGGTACCGGAGTACCTGTGAACAGAACACGTACTACTTTCATATAATTATGTTATAATATTAGGATTGTGAATGTATAAATTATACAATACAAAGTATATATTTATATTTTATTTATTTCTATTAAGTTAATTAGATCGTTTAAAGAAGTCATATATCTTTTCTTAGATTTTTTTTAGAAGAATTAACTTGATTATAGCCAAATTAAGATAAGATGTACGAGATATGAAATATACTTATAGTATGATTTACCAGTCTGTTTTTCTGCAACCTTTAAAGTGAATCCTTCCAGAAGAGTTGGTTCACTTCTTCCTTTTGCATTTACAGCATACAGGATCATTTTAAGAACTTTGCCAGATTCTAAACCTTGTACTGTAAAGGCTGCATTTTCTTTGGATGTGAGGTTTGCTTGCAGCATTCCCGTATGCTGATCAAAAACTTCCAAAAGGAAATGTTGAGGTTGACCACCATCAAAGCCAGCAGTACATTCCACCGAGAGTGATTCCGTTGTTTGATTTGACAAGGTGCAATTATACGGGGATTCAGGTTTTCCTGTAAATAATAATTTGTGAACAATTAACAATTTTACAGAAGTGACATTGTAGCAAATTTTAGTTTAAGTCATTTTTCGAAGGAAAAATTAATTATCAAAAATAATTATTAAAATTAAAATGGCTTTAGTCAAAGATGCAATTTCAAAGTCTTAAATCTTCTACATTAAATATTAGAGACATAGGAAAATATTTTTTTTTGTAGAAATAAGAATTAGAATATGCAGATTCCTATATTTAAAAATTTCTAATTAACAATTGTCTATTAAAAATACTTAAAAGAATTTAATTGACGTAATTATAAAATAATTATTGAGCGTTTGATGAATTTTATGCAGATACATACCCGCAGGAATGATGTGAAACACACAGGCATTCTTTTGCTGACCAGCAGTGTTACTTGCCCAGCAAAATACAGTCCCGTAATCCATTTCTGTGACTGGTCGATATGTGAGAACGCTTTGAGTGTGTCGTGTAGAGTTTTTATATCTTGCTTGTGGCACATCTACCATCTCTTCTGTATTATTAAAAGTCCAGCGGAAGCTGTCTGGTGGAGGATACGCCTCGACCCTGCAAATTACTCGTGCATCTTCGTGACGTGCTACACCGTAGATCCGTTTCTGATCCGGCACGCAAATTGGTTTATCTGGTAAAATCAATGCCTTCGTGAAAATTTTAAAATAAATCACATTCATCATTTTATTTTACTCGTACAATTTTTGTAATATTAATCTAATTATATCCTTACATCGGTACGACTGAATATGCATGTACAGTGAGTTTCAAAAGTAGCATAAAATGAATGACTTTAATTTTTTAAGAAGTTACAATAATTAATTTGTTAGATAACTTAGTTTCGTCATTTAGAAAAATTGTAATTGTATGTAATTTTAAGCCTCGATCAACGGATCATGGAGAAAGCCCTGATTTTAATTTAATTTTGTAATTCATATTATTTTAATTTTTTAAATTTTATACTGCTCATTAAATTATATATTTAATTTTATATCAATACCCTTGTATAGATACGTTTTATAAGTTTGGATCACGATGGATCTAAGCTCCGCTGTTCAAGAGTTAAAGTAGGAATAATAGATTACAGTTAATTTACTTGAGGTAATCTGTCATTTTTAATCGTAATATGATTGACGTATGCGTAATATGAAAACTTACACATAATTTTAAGTTCCACGTTGTTACTGTAACCATCTCCTTCGACATTGCTTGCGATACAAGTATAATTTCCGGCTTGAGAGCGATTGACCTCCCTCAAAGCCAAACCGTATTGCTGTACTATCACGCCATTTTTCGCATTATTTTGAATTACGTTTCCCTGGAATAATCAAATTGGCAAATTCTTATTTGCATTTCTACTTTCGTTAATATTCTTCGTAGAAATGAACTTGGTAAGAATGGAAATTGAAAGGACAAGATTAATTGCAATACCCTACAATAAAGAAAAATTCTTATATAATTAAACAGTGAAATTAATGAGATGAATAAAAGAATAAACAATATTTTTGGAATGAGATATTTCCTTCTTTAACATATGCAAAAAAATTAAAAAAAGAGTTAGACATCGAAAAAATGGGTATGCGATATTAAATGAAAGTATCATAATAAAATTGTAATTTTTAATATACAAGATGATTTAGAATCTATGGTTGTTTTTAAAGAGTATTTAAATTAGGCTATCAATTAACTAATTGAACTATTAAAATTCCTAATGTCTTTTTTCCTAAAATTGCTAAATCTATAAGGCTTTTATTAACAAAAATTTTGTATATAAATGTAGTATTCGGACTCCATTATAGACACGCAATATTTTTTATAAATTTCAATTTTAGAAGTATATATGCTAGGGATATGCAAGATCAAGGATATGAATCTTGATACATAAACAATTTTAAAATACCCTTTAAGTAATGAGAGTGCCCATAATTGAGTGATAGCGTATTTCTATATTACGTCCTATTTTTATACAAAATACGTATTAAATACATGATATTCTATTGAAACTTACATTGTGTTTCCATACTACTTTATAAGCATCGGGGTTAGCATGCACCTTGCATTCAAAGTACACATCGTCACCTTCTTCGATGTCGTCTGGATTCATATTTGACCCCAACTCCAGATGTAAAATTGGTGCAACTAGAGGATAAAAGATGAATGAATCATTAAATGTAATATAATCGAATATAACGCAACATTTTGTAAAAAAAAGCAATAAATCTTCAAAATTAAAAAAAGAAAAAAGCTTCATATGTATATAATTGAAGAGAAAGAGAAACAGTATTCATTTGTTAGTGACAAAATAGAATTAGTAAAAAGTTCTCTATTCTTCTGATAGATTGTTTCATGCTACACTTACAAAAAACATTTAGTTTCCACTCCTCTTCCGCTACACCTCGATGAACCTTAGGATTTTCTGCTCGGCAAGTAATTCGTTTGTCATGGTCAAGTAAAGTTGGTTTGAACGTTAATAGAGAACTAGTCATGTTACCATCCTGAGAAACCTTTACACATTGAAAAATAATCATAAATGTATTAAATTGTAATTATAAATAAATTAAACTGTACTATATTATAATGCATTGTTTTATCAAAGAATCTTTAATTTTACTAATTAAACATACAGTATTATTTATTGATAATTGCAAGCTTTAAGTTTCTTTTCTAAAGAAACTGAAAAGGTAACTAAAATAAAATATACGATACTTTATATTTTTGTTAAAATTGTTCATAGCTAGAAATTTAAAATCCATACAGCACAAGAAGAAAAGAAAATACCTTCTCGGTGTAATTGTTCAACTTTTTTCCATCCATGTACCACGATAACTTAGCTGGTGGTCTTGAACCAACACTCATACAATTTATTTCGTACTTTCGATCAGCACTTAGAGGTGCATGTTCACTGCTTAATATCGTTACACTCAGTGGTTTTACTGAAACGAAGGAAATACGTGAAAGTACTTTGTACTTATTACTATGGGGAAATGCCATAAAAATATTGTGTCTAATTCAGGAAGTACACAATTCATTAACACAATAGTTAAAAAGTTATTCTAGGGAGAGACCTAGAGTCTCTCCCTGTCTCTCCCCAAGATATCTTTTGAACTAATTAATTTTCGATCAAAGCACCCTAATAATTACTTGTAGGGAATTAAAATACGCTTTAAATGATGTATAGCAAAGTATAAAATTAAAAAAAAAATTGCTTAAATAAAGTGTTGGACAATGTTAATTAACTTACAATGCATTTCAATAGCAACAGAGGCAGATACAGGTTGACTGATATTGTTGTTAGATGCTTGGCAAGTAAATACTGCATGGAGATCAGCTCTGGAGAGTTCTCGAATTATTAATGTATTTCTACGAAGAGAAGGAAATTCTCCAGGCTCGTCTTTCGAATCAAGAAGCATCTCTCCACGCCACCATCTTACTTTTGGCTCGGGTCGACCTACAAAGTAACGTGAAGTTATTAAGATTTAAACTATGACCTATAATATTTGATTGTGTTCTAAAAATTGAGCTGCTTCTGTCATAATGTACGAAGTGAATGACATAATTCGGATCCGTTTCATTTCACTAATAAAGTTTCAAATTTAACAAGTTTCGTTGACTTTTGCATTAATTAATAGTATTTTAGCTATCTGAGATGCTTTGTTGTTGCAGAAAGCACTTTTGGAAATACTTTCAAAGCCTTTGTGTAATACAATAATTAAACTCACCCCCTGTGACCAGACACTGCAATTTCATGTCACCTCCTTCGTCGTATGGACCTGCTATGGTTGACACTGTTTTCCCATGTGCATCAATGATATTTGGTTTATGGGGTGGTACTGGAATAATTTTCTTTTTAATTAACTATTTTAGATGGTGTATATTATGTCATAGTAAACATTATGCAGTATGCTCTTTTGATATATTTCAATTGATAAGAAAATATATAATTTATAATAATCATAAAAAAAAGAAATTCACTTCTGAATTTATTGCATTAATTTAGTACAAAAAATTATTCTACAAATTTTGATAACAGGTATATTTAGAGTGATACAAACCTATTACTGTTAGATGAATCCTAGAATTTCTGGTTGGGCTTTTAGCAAAATCTACCCGACATCTATATTCACCTTCGTCTTTTTCTTCGATATGATTGATATTTAATGCTGCTGGTTCTGGGATTGTTCTGAAGAACGCTCGATCATTTAAATGATCTTTGTCTTTCCAATGAGAAGCTTTTTCAGAATATTTGCCTCTTATATCATAACTGAAACACAGTGTTATGCCTTTGATTTTTCAGAATATAACATTATATTACTTAATTTAATTATATTATTATCTGGGAATTTTAAGTACTGTTGAAGGTGATAATTAAAAGCTGAACGGGAAACTGTTCGCATTTACGCGTTCAATTAATAAGCGTAGTAAGTCAGTATCGATTAACACAGGAAAGAAAACAATTAGCTTGTTTCATTATATCAATCAGGTTTATTATTTATTTCCTCTTATTCCATTCAATTCCCTGAATTTTTACCGTCATAAATATGTATTTCGTATCATGAAAAAGAATATGTGGAAGGGTGGCAGTACAATGAGAGTCTACTGTATTGGGAGATTATGTAATTGATGTAATTGATTATGTAATTAATTATCCATTTTTTAAATCTATTGTTTTCTAATATTACCTTAATAATCTAATATATGCTCACCTGTAAATAGGTGTAATATCATCTCTGTACCATATAACCAGAATTGCAGAATCATTTTGTCGTGGGGGTGTAATGTCGCATGGTAATTCTGCTGTACCCTGAAGTACTGCTCTGGTTGCAAGGGTTGGTCCTGCAACATAAAATATTATCATTAGTATACTGTTCGGTACAAATTTTTACCATGAAATATTAAAAATTTTTTTGCAAAATAAATTAAATCTAAACTAAAAATTAGAAATTCATAAGATCGTGCCGACGTTTATTGCTGTAACCGAGTTAAGCAAATCCCTATGTTGATGAACATTGGACAATTGTATTACCCGTATAGGGGTACGTAAAGGGTGTGTGGAAGTGAATTATGCATTACCATAGATGGTTAGCTTAGTATCAGCGTCGCATCTGGCGACGGTATATTCATGTACCACTAAATTTGCAGAGAGAATTCGGGAACGGTGCAACGATGTCCATTTTACATCCTTATATTTAATATTAATAATTGAAAATGTTCCATTTGTTATTATAGTAAGCCTTAGCTGCTACATATGATATAACTATTTTCCATAAAATAACTCTACATATTATCATTATTTTCTCTCAATTTTTTACAACTTTTATTAAAAATTTTTGTAAATATTTAACCCCAGATAGACTAACAATAAGGGGGTGAAAGATTTATTACAAAATATTAAAAATTTATTATTTCTTCTTAAAAAGTTTCTAACAATTATTTATTTTTAAGTATAAAGTTTACAATTAAAATAATGTGTCCTATGTTAATTTTGCTGTAATCTATTTCTGAATTAATTATATGTTTAATATCAATTCTAAAGTAGGAGGAACCGAAAATTATACATATGATTAACAATTTTAATGAATGTCGAGATAAAAGATCGACGCTGATATTGGTGTCTGGTATTAATACATGAGTTGGTTGCAATTTCACACTCTAGAAACCACTATTTCCAGTGAACTGCTTCTCTGCCTACCTTCCGAGTCAAATGTAGGAGAATCAGGGAGAGAATATTTGTGAAGGAAACAAAGAAATATGGGAAGAACAGAAGAGAGAGAAACGGTTTTCCAGCAAGCGGATACCTTTTATATAACTGTACCAGCTGTAAGACCACGTTAAAATTGATTTCCTTTTGTTTTCACTCCATTAGATTTCCTCAGGTTTGCCAATTTTAACGTTGAATTTCACCATGTTATTCTTTTAACTCAATAAATTCTTTATCAACAATGTTTCTCGTATTTGTTGCTACTATCATGTTCAAAAATAAAATTAAAAATCAGTATTACAAGGCTTATTGCAATGTACAAAGAAATACGTTTGGTATATTAAATTAAAAAAAATAATTTTTCTGCAATTTAATTGATTTGTCTGAGAAAAATCTAAGTTTGATTAAATATATCTAATTTACATATTTTCAATTTACAAAACTTGAAAGGACAATTATACCAAAATATTCATAAATTAGTTCCCTCTTTTATAGATTAATGTTTAAATTTGTTATGTTACCAATGCTATATGAATTAAAAATTTACATTCTCTCTGAAGGAAATGCACTGATATATTACGACACTGCACAACTTTCCTACTGCATTCATTTCTAATAAAAAATATTTCAAATATATTTGACTGATAATGAGATTAATTTATTCATTATACTCGAATTTTTATTATGCAACTACCTTCAAATAATAAGACACTTGAATCATAGTATACTTGGTAGTTTCTCTTGGTCAACCTCTTTCGACACGTAGAAACAATTCAGCTAGGCAAGGTAACGGAGTAAGCCGATAATCCGCGGGTCAGACAGTGTCGAGAAACCTTATGACTGTGCTTAGCCTGGCTCCAACTCCTATGGGAGTGCTCACCCTCTACCATTTTCTTATATCTCATCTACGAAATATTTCAAAAATATACAATATATTCTTGAAGCGTTACTGGTATACAATCGTGCAAAGAATCTTTTCAGTAATATGAAAGTTTTATGAAACAAATTCATCATCATCTTATAAAGCAGACTCTTTGTCTTTATACAAAAGGTATTAAGGAAGCACTTTGTTTTAATTAGCGGTATTAAAGTTGCTATATGCAAATACGTTTTAATTTTACCGTAACACAGTAAACAAAGTAAAGGTAAGAAGAAGAAAAATGTCATAGATTATGAAATGTTAGGTCCCTTCAAAATTAGTTGAATTAATTTAATCCTCGAGAGCATTCAATAAGTACACAGTTATTTTTATTGTTCAATGCAAAAAGAGATTGAAAATTTTATTCTGTAATATATATTTTTGAGTAAAGTGAATTGGGATTCGATTGGATAACATAAATTTCCTCGTAATGGAGCGAGGGTGTAGTAATTTAGTAAGCCAGTACTCCTCCCAGGTAAAGCCTCTTGCACTGCTTTGTCTTCCTATATGTTTCGTTGCTGAAGGCAAGTGATTCAGACACTTTTATGGAAAATGTATTTACTAATATGTATAGTTTACAGCAATGCTCATTAGGTAACTTTACCACCAACAATACTGTTCTAAGTAAATATCTAAATAAATATTTTCTCCACTAATTTGACAAAAATTATTACCTTTTTTTTTCACTGAAATCACAGTAAATGATGTCGATATAAGTACAATATATAGGTAGTCATTTGTCTGCTAAAGTTGGGTGTTCCAGGTGGCCAGACGCTAGCAAGTAGTATTGGACATTGTGATCAGACGGTCTCCTCACTTTAAGTGAAAGGTATCAATCAATGCCGCGACGGACGCACGGATGAATGTTCCACTTAATCTTTTAATCCTAATACAGTGTGTAGAAATGATTGAATCACGTCATCATGTTACTATTCTGAATGATGGAGAATCAATCATCAATTAGAACTTTGTAGATTATAGGAAAAATATTTATTTTCTTTTAAATAATATAATATAACTTCATACTATGTAAGTCGTTTGTATATTATACTACTTGTTTTTTTAATTACCAGTATAATTTTAATTACCAGTATTACCAGTCTCAAATGGTAAATTAAAGTAAATATTTATAAATTCGTAAATTAAAGTATTTTAAATCCTCTGAGTTATTATTATAATCATCTAATTATTAAATTTAAGTGTTTTTCTTTTGTAGCATTAAAAGAATTCAGTGCTACAGGTTACTCATTTCATCCCTTCATTCAATTCTCGTCTTATATTTTCCAAGACAGTCGTTTGCTATGTTCTGGAATGTTGATTGACAATTCCAGGCATAGACACCTTCTGGCTCGTAAGTGAGCTCACAAGGTATGAAATCTCTAAAGTGAAGCTATGCCTTGGGCAATTCAGGACGCTCTGTTGATTCTTACCTCCTCGTTGACTAAGAGAGAGATTTCAAGTATTTGAATACTATTACAGTGAAATTTGCCTATTTGCCGGTGAGAAACACCTGAAAGTCTATATTAAGATAAAGTCTAAAATTCAAAATAATCTAACAAAGTTGAAAATGAAAATAAATAAAAATGACAAAGAGAACAATAACTATAAAGTTATATTGTTACTGATATTTTGACTGTCAACTCTTGAAATTTTTGGAAAATAAAGGAATTATTAAAAATTATATTAAAAATCATTCTTAATATTAATTTTGTATCTTTAATTAGTACATTATACCATTATCAACAAAAATGATAATCTATGGTACAGATGATTGATAGAAACATCATTAATGATTAAATAAAATTACGTTTGAAAAAATTCCAATATTCCTTAGGAATTCTGAGCACAAGTAAGGGAACAGGGTCTTTGTGAGAAAACTGAAGAAACAAAAACAAAGTTAGGAAAAAGGGAAGCGCGACAGACAGAATGATTACGGAACAGATTTTATTGGAAATCGGAGTCTCTCAGTTGGCAAGTAAAGCGAATCGTTATCGAGAGTTTGCGAGTTTAATTTCCGATATTAAACGCGCCCGAACGATTTTCATAAATGGTTGAAAAAGCCAAGAAGTTTTGTACCTTCGATGAACCTTTCGTATTTTTCGATGAATAACGCGGAATTTTAATAACCGTCTACCACTTGAAAAACTTCAAGTAACATTGCGCCAGTGAAACAGTGGAAGTTACGGTATCCCAGCTCGCTTTGTTTTCATTTCTATGAAAAACTCTACCGAAAACTCTATTTTCAAATGACTTTCTTTCTTCCGCTTTTGACCGTGTCACCGTTACCAACATCACCGTCAATGGGAACAAGCTTGAAAGCCAGCGCAGACCGGCAAGGATTTAAAATTGCATTGAGTTTAATGTAAGGGAATTTTACGAAAGTTATCAGCAAATAGAGAACCTAATGATAAAAGGAAATATATTAACTTTATTCAAAGAGCAAAGGTATAGAGTGCACTTTTTGTCTTTAATTAACAAAATTGTTGGAGAGCATGGAATAGTGCTTGAAACACTTTACTAATTGAAAAATTGTTACGAAAGGTTTTTTTATTTGCTAAAATTCTAACTGAAACAGTTGTAGATAATAAAAAAATAAAAAATAAAAATACTACTAACAGGTACTTAGTATGTATAATAGTGCTGCTATTATGAGTGTCATTACACTAAAAAATTAATTTAAAGGAAATTATACATATCACTTCTTCTGTAATGAAAATATGTGCGTTATAGTAAACAATAACCACAATTTCACTTTATTTCAGAAAAATAAAGAAAAGTAACCACAGTTTAATAGCAAAGAAAGAAGCAAAGAAACACAGTTTAAAATTAAAAGGGAATCGGTAAATAATGAAACTTTAACAGTAAAATAAATGATAATTAAGGCGATTATGGATAAAAGCCGTTTTGATACCCGATATCCTTGCCACCGTTGTCACGTTTTAATTCCAACATGTTAAAAGCGAACACTTGAATAATGTAAATTTATACGCGTTGACAATGTAATGCTTGAACGGTAAAGGGAAAATTCCAAGCGTGTTTGTTGCCATAAATGTGTAAGTGGAGTGCACGATGGTGACCTACTATGCACAAAGTGGAAATCTGGACTGTTGTCGAGAATTTGGTCCGCAATGATTTCAAGAAAGTACTTTAATCCAAAGCGTACTTTTAATTGTGTTTTATACCGATAATTTTAAAACAGACGGATTCTGCGAGGAC